ACTGTATCCGGAACACTCCCGCTTGTCTACCGAAATACTGCAACACTGTTCAAAGCACTAATGGTTACCCTTGGGCAATGAACATCATTGTCAGCAAGGACCTTACTGTCCTTCACCATAGACATCTCGGCAGCGAGCATATTGTTTGCATTGAGGTCAGTACCAAGTTAGGAAGGCTTATTGTGGTTAACATCTACTGCCCACCCAGCGATAACATTGACAACATCCTTTCTAAGATACAAAATATTATCAACTGCTTCCAGGGGGAGAACATCATCATTGCTGGAGATGCAAATTCTCACTCCCCTTGCTGGGGGGGTGATCAGCTTGACAACAGAGGTAACATTCTTGAGGATTTCTTTGCTTCTAATAACCTTTTAGTCATCAACAACCCGTTCTCTCCACCTACTTTTACCTCCAGCAGAGGAAAAAGCTGGATCGACATTACGTCATGTTCCACCAACTGCCAACCCCTCATCTCTGACTGGAAGGTTCTCTCGGAAGACTCTCTTTCTGGGCACTCTTACATCACCTTCACCTCCAAGACACCCACCTATCCTAATCGCAACAGAAAGTATAACATCTCTCGTGCTAACTGGCTTGGAATTCAACGCTATCTCACTACACATCTTGTAGACTCTGACAACCAGAATATAGACTCTACTCGTCACTCACTGGACACCAACATACAGCTCATTTCCAACGCCTGTGAACTCTACATTCCTAGGACTTCCCCTAAAGGAAGACAGGTTCCATGGTGGAATCATACCCTTTCCGACCTTCGTAAGACCAACAACCGAGTTCGCAAAATATACCAACGTACTTTCATGGAACCCGAACGATCTACCCTCAGAACTCAATACCTTCAACATCAACGGATCTACAAGAAGGAAATTAAGAAATCCAAGCTCAAATCCTGGCGTGACTACTGCTCCAAGGCCTCTAATAATCCTTGGGGCTACCATCATGAAATTATGTACCACCTTCTACCTGTATAAAAACCTTCCAAATCTCCAGTGATACTCGTTTAAGCAAACGTTTTCAACCCTACCAGGGTCTTCATCAGGCTACCGTTACAAAAATTCAAACAGTGCGAAATCGAACAGGAACCAAATAACTGCGATTCAAATCTTCGAATGTCAACGTTAATATCAAAAATAGAACACCACGCTCTTGTAGCGATGTCGTCAAAGTATGCGCAACCTGCGCTTGCAATAAAACCATATTACACCTAATTATGTGTGGGGGTGTTCCTTCGTAGCAAAACTTCCATGCACTAGAAATGTTGACTGCATCTCTGGATTTTTGTAACAGTAGCCTGATGGTTTGCACTCGTTTGAATTTTTGTAACAGTGGCCTGATGAAGACCCTGGTAGGGTCGAAAACGTTTGCTTAAACGAGTATCACTGGAGATTTGGAAGGTTTTTATACAGGTAGAAGGAAGTATATTACCTCCAGTATTTGATAGGAAGTTCAGTTGTTATCACAATTAGCAACTGATAATACTTGTTGCTGCTGTTGTTATCAGTGTATTTTAATGTTTTTACTGCAAATTAATGCAATTTTGCATCATTCAAAGGCTGAAATTTTTTTAAAATTGCACATGCATTGTTTTCAGATGTCATTTATTACTAACTGGAAATGTAACAAACAGTTTGGAGGTTATATTTTATTACTTTGATTTTATTTCCCATGATATATTTAATTATAACAATTTTTCATCATTTTGTCCTCAGGTAGATGCTGGTGACACACTTTCCCATCATTATATATAATTCAATAAATTTTGCTCAAAATGAATAAAGTTTCTTTTTATTCTTAATCTGTATATAACAGTGACATACTTTATGAAAAAAACAACCAAACTGGCATATTCAGTGAAACTTTTTGGTTCAATGCAGCAGCAAAAGTGTTGATGTACTTTAACTTGATAATGATGTGGTAAAGAATAATTAAGTTTAATGCTTTTATTGTGCAAGAGATAACAGTTTTAAGTTAATTTTTTCACTTCAGTTAATCTATCTCTACTTATAAATAATAATAAGAATTAAATGCTGATTACAACAAATAACATCTATTCAACCCTGATATACAAGCATATGTAAGGTAGGCCTGAATAACTTAACAAAATTACATACTCGTATGTGATAAAATTATACATAATCATAGACAGACATTGCACTTATTTCTGAATGTTGGGTAGAATATTTGCCTTAATATACTTTTCCATAAAAAATCATATTAATTTAAATAATTTTGATTAAGTTGATACATTTTACAAAATTATTGAATATTTTACCTGGAAAATATGTGATGTTGCAACATTACTAGATGAATCATCTTCAAGTGTATTTTCAAGATTCTTTTTAGCCTGACTTTTAGCAAAATCTTCATATAATTGTACCTAGAATTAAAATATAAATAATAAATTTTAAATGAGGATGGAAAAATAAATAATAAATTTTAAATGAGGATTATAAACATTTGAAACTCTTCAAATGTTTATAATTTTTGGAATTTGTTTTTTACCTGAAGATGACTGAGTTCACAATAATAATCTTGAATGATTTTAGGAGGCAAGTCTTGTAGAACATCATCTTTCATTCTTCTTAATAAAAATGGCAAAACTTGTCTATGAAGAGATTCCATAGCCAAAACACCTAAAAAAATTAAATTAATTTTATCTTTCCAGGGTTATTATATTATATAATTTATTAATGATAATATACTTTAAAAAACTTTATTCATATTTATTTCTAATATTTTAATTTTTATGTAATAATATTTATATCTTTTCTTTCAGCCATGTATTTAAAATTACTGAAATGAAAAATTTTTGTTTTTATATAAAACTACAATTTGTTGAAATTTCAGTTATATTCATTACAACATTAAAATGACATGTTAAAATAATATAATTATATATAACTAAAATATTTATTTTAATTAATTAATAGTAATTCATGCTGTATATAACTGAAATAACAAATGCCAAAAATTTAAACTATTATACTGTGAACAAATAATAATTAAATTAACATTTAAAGTACTGATTAAAATTGATAAAATAGCTGGTAACTGATAACAACTGTGAATTGTTAGTCATATGTTGAGACCAATAACATAAAAAAAGAAATAACTTAAAAATGCTCCTTTACTTGAAACTAATGACTCAAACTTATTATAATAATGGTATATTTTAGATATGTTTTGGGACTTTTTTAATGTTATCACAATTTCTTTCTACCTGTATAAAAACCTTCCAAATATCCAGTGATACTCGTTTAAGCAAACGTTTTCGACCCTACCAGGGTCTTCATCAGGCTACCGTTACAAAAATTCAAACAGTGCGAAATCGAACAGGAACCAAATAACTGCGATTCAAATCTTCGAATGTCAACGTTAATATCAAAAATAGAACACCACGCTCTTGTAGCGATGTCGTCAAAGCATGCGCAACCTGCGCTTGCAATAAAACCATATTACACCTAATTATGTGTGGGGGTGTTCCTTCGTAGCAAAACTTCCATGCACTAGAGATGTTGACTGCATCTCTGGAGTTAATACATGTATTGTTTAATCCCGCTTTATAAATTTCTAAGGTCTCCATAATTCTTAGTTGGTCAGTACGGTGTGATAGCCTAACTAGACTGGCATTCTGCAGATCCACCGTAATTCCAGGCTCCGTGGNATTTATAAATATGTATGTCAAGTTATATTTTTATTACGACACAAAATATATTTAAGAGTTTATGGCCACAGTGCTGGGTGAGATGTTGAAACAAAAAAAGTTATGCATTCCATCACGTACATAAACAGTATCGTAATTCACCAAGTGCAAATCAGCAAATTCGTAAAATTTTTGTTTATTTTGAACAATCCGGATAATCGAAAATCTGGATAATAGAGGTTCTACTGTACAGTACATCTATCTTCTCATACAATAATTCTGTAGCAAAGTAACTCTTTTTTCTCACTAGCAATAAAATGTTAAAACTTGCTTAATAAACTTTTTCAGGCAATAATACACATCATATTTCTTCAATAACTGTTAGTGCAAGATTGAAATTATTTGCTGTAAACAGTAAGGTTTTAATTTTTATATTGTGAACTGAGGTTCCAGCTTGTACATTTTAAATGATTTCCTTGGTAATTTTTATGAAAATTCTGTAATTGATTATGGGCTACATTCATTTTTCTGTATTTTTACATATAGTTATCATTTCTTTAAATGTTACATATTCTCAATTTTAATAGGATCTGGATATTTTTTTTGAAAGTGATTATTATTATTATGTTGGATTTATGACATGTGTTTATTGCTTTAACTGTGTGTTTTGCATTTAACTGTGTTCTGAGGATAGCATTTAACCCACTTTGGTATTCTTTAATTAATCTTTGCTTTATTTGTGTATATTCTGTTAGTTTGGGCTGTTGGAATCCTAAATACTTGTAAAACTTGCCCATTTCCATGGTTTCAATAACATCTCCATTTCCAAGTGCAAAATCTCCTTTCTTCGAGACTCCTTTTTCTATGTGAAGTTTTTTGCATTTGTCTAAGCCAAACTCCATTTGTATGTTCTTAGTGTATAAATGTGTGATTTGTAGGAGTTGATGAAGTTGTTTCTGTGTGGATGCATAAAGTTTTATGTCATCCATGAGATGTGACAGCGTGAACTGTGTTGTTTTTTCATGTCTGATATTGTAGCCATATTGTGTGTTGTTTAACATGTTGGATAATGGATTCAGGGCTAGGCAGAACCAGAGAGGACTCAAGGAATCTCCTTGAAAAATTCCTCGCCTAATAAATATCTCGTTTTTTATATGGAAGTGTTACTAACCCTGAGATATAGTGTTGTTCTCCAGTGATGCATAGTGTTTTGGAAGAATGCAATGAATGATGGATGTATTTCGTACATGTGTAAGATAGGTATCAGCAAACTGTGTGGAACACTGTCGAATGCTTTTCTGTAGTCTATATATGCCATGTGCAGGCATGGCCAATATACAGACCGTCTAATGAATTTATGCGGCCCGCAATTAATCTTTCAATATTAGCTACACAAGTCCGAATAGCTCAATAAAAAAGTCTGACAGACTAAAGAAAAAAAAAAAAAAGGTCAACAACTCACTGTGCTGTGTCACTACGGTGACTGCCCCAGCATAAACTAATGTATGAATGTCTGAGAGTGTAGAAATTGAATGAATGTAGTGTGGTAGTAATTGAGTGTTTACATAATTTAGTGTTTTTCCTACTACCTTTGAAGTGTTGATTTTTGGTATTTGTGGTCTTTGTGTGGGATCTGTACCAGTATATTTAGTGAGTATTTCCTGAAATATAAGTGAGAGCGTATTAACTAATTCTATGTCTATGTTATCAGTGATGGATGAGGAAGTGTATGTAGTATCATTACTGGTAGTTGTGTGTGCTATTATCAATACTTGTTGCTGGATTATCCTGATAGGTTAAGTGATCTTCATTAACGTTAAATATTTCTGTCTGTTGATGTATTTGATCAGCAACCTGTTATTTGATAAGTTCAAGTGTTGGTTGTAGGATAAGGTTGTTGTGTATAATTGTTCTTTTTTGATCAACAACCCTTTGTTCGATGACAGTGAGGTGAGGATATTGTTGTGTAAATCTATGGTGTAGTTGTTGTCTGTATGCTGTCATGTTTGTTTCGAGTCTTGAGATGGTGTAGTTAAGTACAGATGATAAACTCATTCATTTCTATTGTACATTTCATTCGTTGGCGTGGTTTTCCAGTCTTTGTGGTCTGTGAATGCATTGCCACAGAAATACAAAGACTAAGTTGGTTCCTCATATCTGTTGAGGCTTGCATTGCTCTATGGATCAGTAAAATTATTGGGCTCTCCCACCATGACCAGGTGGTAAACCATGGGAGAGTTATCATTATTAATATTATTATTATTTTGGTTTTTAATATGTTCTAAAATAAAAATTCATATCATGTTAATGAATAAATAAAAATCAAAATAAAACAAGTCTGGCTTCTTTACGTGTGCATAAATGGAACACATCAATATCTTTAATAAAATAAACAATTTTTAGTTAATAAATAAATTCAAACTTATAATTGGATTTTATCTAAGAAATATTGCCATACTTTTTTTAACTTTCATAAACTTTTTCTGAATAGGCATTCAAAATATATTACAAAATTTAATAATAAAATTCTCTGAGGAACTGCTGTTAGTTTAACTGGAATTATCCGAATATTTTTTATTGAAATCTTTAGATAAAAAAATTATTTAAAATTCATAATTAAATATTTTCTTAAAGTATATGAAATAATAATTTTCCTAAACAAAATATTAACATATTATAATTGAATTTTAAATAACACATAATTTAATGATTAAATATGAAAGGTTAGGTGTAATAATCCATGTTAGTGTAATAATTTATTAGTATATATATACTCTAATAACTAATAAATTATTTCACTAACATGGATTATTATATATATAAGATACAGAGGTCCTCTTCAATGCCGTATATTACAACGCCAAGTTTTTGCATCTCGACTTTTACAACACCATATATTGTATTATTAATAAATTTATTTATAGCTTTATTTAAAATAATTTATGTATATGTTGTAATATGTAACGATCTTTGTTTTGAACATCATTTGAACGTTTAAAAAATTGGAACACAGCTATGTTCAAAAGATAAGGCTTTTCAAATGATAGAACTGATTTTTGTATTTATGCATTCTTTCCTGAAGAAGGCCATCTTTCAGAGGCCTTCTTCAGGAAAGAATGCATAAATACAAAAATTAAAGATTATATGCTAATTCCAGCATATAATCTTTAATTTTTGGAACATTAAAGATTATATGCTGGAATTAGCATTTAGATGTGTGTTAGTGTGTTGATTAGTATACCATTCCAGTTTGTAAGTTTTTTATGTATGATATATATATACAGTCGACTCCCCTATAATTACGATTCCTATAAAACTACAAAAAAATATACGTATTTTGGAAATGTTGAGTCGGATTAGTGTAGAATCGATTAATTTTATGGAAGAAAACCTTTCAATCAGCCGTAGTCCGTAAACTTGACACGTGTCGGGCTGTGATTGGAATGACTTGTAAGAAATCGGATTCCTAATAAATTGGAACGTATCTATATCTTATAGGGGGGTCGACTGTATATATATTTAAATCTATTTATTGGAAAAAATATAATATAAATCTATTTTATATATAAATATTAAAAGATCTATTTTAATAAAAAAATTTTTGTTCTTAAATCATTTTACATTTTCTTTAATAATGAAATGAAAATAAAGTATTTATAATCAGACCTTATTTAATATCAATTAATTCAAATTATATATATAATATGGAATAAAATTTCTTGATAAGCAAACTTCATAATTTCTAATCAATGAAGTTTTGTATGCAAAAACATGAAAGGATTATTGTATCATTAAATGCTCCAACACTTAGACTTGTTGAAACTAAAGATAATTTATCACAAAATTTTCAATTATTTTAATATATAATTTTTTTATAAGGAAAAAACAATTTAATAATCCTAAAACAGAAAACAAATTATTATAAATTATTTAGTAACTTATTTCTGTAAAAAAATTTTATTATTTAAAAATGATTTATAATGAAAGTAAAAAAACAAAAAATATTCTTAAACATTTAATCTAATATGAAAATTTCATTACATACAAATTTTCATTCATGTAATATTAAATTAATCTTATATTTTAAAATAAAAACAATAAAATATTATTCACCTGCTTCTTGCTCCTTAGATGATGATTTTGCATCTCGACTTTGCAAAATTGGCTTACTGTAACAGGCAGTGAACTGTTTTTCAGTTCCAAGAAATCCAGGCATTAAAAAGTCAAAGAGAGACCATAATTCCAGTACATTATTTTGAATTGGAGTTCCTGTCAATATCAACCTATGATTCGCTGATAGTTGTTTAATAGCTTTGGCTAACTATAAAGGAAAAAATAATAATTTCTTCATTGAGAAAGAATAAACTTCAAACTTTTTCCTTTTCATAATTTATATAAATATAAGAGTAACCTTGTTTAAAAAATTGTAGCAAATTCATTTTAATACCATATTTACTCAAATGTAAGATGCATTAAATCATCATTTTAATGATTTTATTAGACCAACATATTTGTAATAGCAAACATTAAAGAGATCAACTTAGCTCAACCTTGTTAGTCTTACAGTAATGTCACAATTACTCACAAAAGCTGGATAAACCATTCCTCAACACATACAACTATTAGTTTTTATTTTAAAATTGGTAAGGTTTAATTCAACATTGATAAATGTTTTTGATCTATTAATAGATCTGCTTCGGGTCTATATAGCTCAACATTCTAATTTTGGAATGTACAATACATGTGCTCATTATAATATTTAAAATTCAAAAATTGTTCAAAATATGTTAAATAATTAAACTCACTGGTTTTAAAATTAAGGTAAATAGTTGTATGTGTTACAGTAATGTAATAAATTCTTGGATGAGAGTCTCAATTCTTTAGCACTCTTTCTAGAAATTTTGCATTTCTAATGCATTAAACAGCACTAGAGGAGTTTTGAGCATTGAATCTAATGTTGATTTAGAAGAGCTTAACACAAATTGAACAGGTTTCTGACTTCAGCAGCACAGAAGACAGTAATATATAACTTATTGAACAAATTTATGTCAACAGAAGCAGTTCTATTGACATAAATAATAATATGTGGTTGAGCACATAAAAATTGAAGTGTGTCTTAGATTTGTTGACATATTCAAGTAAATGTGATAGCTGCTAACCAATTTAAATTTTTTGGTAATCAAAATATTAATCCTTTTGGCTCTGATGTTCAAATATTATTTAATGTCACACAATGTATAGCTTTATATTTCAAACTTTCATTTCCTGATGCAATAATTATTCAAAAATATCACACAAACAACCTTTCTACTTTCCAGCACACTTATATAATGATTGGACAAACATTTTCAAACTGCTTTACATTAACTTCAGGTCTACCTATATATTAACATTAAAAAATATAGTTAATATATAGGTAGACCTGAAGTTGATCTGTAAAGTAGTTTCAAAATGTTTGTCCAATCATTAAATAAGTGTGCTGGAAAGTAAAAACGTTTTTTGCAGGATATTTTTGAATTATTTTCCAATTTAAATTTGCATTTTCAATAATTATTATAACTGTTCTAAAATTTGATTATTTATCTACTAATAAAACATAATTATAGATCAAAAGGAGTTTCAAGCAGTGGTTATGTAATAATCACAAAACGTATTAATAATGTTTACAAAAATTTTTGCTTATGTAATTCCATCATTATTTTTGATGTTGATAGAAAGTTCTCTGTAATAACATCAAAGTAACAAATAAATAATAGCATCCAAAATTTGTATATTTTGCTAGTTCTTAGTTAATAATCAATTATTTCAATCATAATAAATAGTAAAAATATTAAATAAAAACTGTATATAAAACAGTTTCAAATCATAAATATGAATAAATTTGTCCATTGAAAAAGTATGACGTAAAAAGAATAAATACTTCTGAAATGTGTGTGCAAGCACATCCTACATATATCTTGGACAGAATATTACACTAAAATACCATTTTATTAAAAGAACTGAATATCAACATTATCTTCCACAAAAGTCAATCTTAACTCAGATATTTTGGTAATGTGACAAAGATAACCTACAGCATGAAAAAACTGATTATAAAAGAACAACAAAAGAAGGTGAAACAAAAGAAAGTCATCTTATATTGAATCAAATCAACACGACAAAGCAACTTACAGGATGGAAATTGCAATAGTATAATCAAAGAAAGCATTTTCTCTCAATCCAATAAAATTAATTGGTCTTCTTCAGTTAACAAAGTATCAAATACAAAGATTATTAACTGAAGACCAATGCAATGGTTTATGATATTTTTAATGAAATTTTATTTGTTTATATATATATAAAAGAATTTATATTTATTCACAATACTTTTTCTCAAATTGTATAAATAAAACAAAAATTAAAAGTACTCTTCTTTTAATAAATCTGTAAATATATAATAAAGAAATTATGAGACAGTCCAACTGACTTATAACAAAGAAATATAACAAGATAGAATGCAGAAGTGAGATTATTATATACTAATAAAGATATGAGTCTGAGGAAAAATTTATGATATATTACAGTAGAATTTGCATATTTTAATCAGTTTGGTTCTCACGTAAACTGATGATGATATTCTGTTTAATGTTATCAGTTAGTTAAGTTAATAAAATAAAATTTGTGGTAATTCTTTTTATTGACTTAACATTAAAAGAATTTGTAAAAACAATTATAACTTCAAGATTCAGAAATGACAATCTGAGAAAAGAACCTTCAATAGCACATGATCATGTGTCATTGGTTGGAGATAGTAGTGAACAGGCTTTCCCTACACACCCAAATTTAACATCAAAAGAGCATGTGTCATTTTTAGATGAAACTTTGTGATTGGATCAGGCATAAAAGCAAATTTTAGACAGACCCTTAGTTAGCCATTTGCAAACTAAGGATCTGCCTTTTCTAAAAACTAAATCTTTAAACATAAGTTGCGGGTTTGAGCCTCGTCCTGGACCAGTTCTTTTATTCCAGAAGGTTCTAAATTTATTTAATAATTTATTTATTTAATTATAATTATTAAAGGGGAGGAAGGACTTTTGGGAGGACTTTGTCTTCAGATATTTATTTAATTATAATTATTGCCATCAGAAGAAAAATTTACAAAGAAGTCTGAAAAGTATCGTCACCAGGGGGCAGTTTTTTAATCTACATTTACCAGCGCTCATTTTCCAAGTAGATAAAAGACCGAAACAACCCCAACAAGGTATGATGGTAACTAGAAGACGTCCATATGCAACTAATTCCTTTTTTAAAAAATTTTGTATTTTTTACGGAATGTATTTTTGTGATTTTAAAAGGACTTTTTGGCGACCAGCAGCCTACAATGAAAGGTCAGTCACCAAGATTGTATAGTCCAGAATGCAAAAATAATAAATGGTGGTTCCTTTTTTGGGAAGACTTTGTCTTCAGATATTTACTTAATTATAATTATTAATTTACTTAAGAAATGGCACCTAATGTCTACCTCTAGTATCAAATTACTTTATACTAATCATTTAATTAGCCATATTACAGCCCGATATTTAGGCAATCGTTTGGTGACTTATTATATACCACATCATTGCTATGAACATGCTAAGTCACACATATGATGAACATGAACACATATATATATATTTGCATATGAACATGCTATGGATAAAGTCTAAAGTCAGTCAGCATAACTGACTTGAGACTTTGTCCACATAGAATTGCTAGTATGCTAAGTGTTAATTAACACACACATCTTGTTGCTACTTGTTGTACTAGTGCACTTATTCAAGAGTGTTCCATAGTTTTTAGAGGATTATATGTAAGTCTGTACACATAGCTTCCATAAAAACTACAAAAAATCCATAGTGGTTGACATCTCTGAAGATTTATTAATTGTTATTATTATTATTACAAATAAAATATCTTTAAGCACTATATGCCAAAAATTGTTGAACCCAGGGAGACAAGAAATATTGATCAGCATTGCAAAAATTTTGGGCAATGGCAATTTGGCAGGAATGAATGTTTTACCCATTACATGGGCAAAAAGTCCATTTCTGATTGATTCATGTAAATAATTAATGATTGCAAACAATGATCAGATCCAATCATTGTTTGCACCATTTCAAAGAGCATAAAAAGCTGTGTTAAACTGCCAAATTTCTTGTTTTGGTAAAAAATAGGCTAAGTTACAATCATTTCCCGAAAAAGTTTTTTCTTTGTGTTTCTCAATACTAAAGTGACAATTGCAAACTCTGAGATTGGGTTACTTTGCAGAAAATCAAGTTATACATGTTTTGTAGAACTGATTTGCTCTCTATGATAGTGCAAATGTAGCCTTCTAGGATTTTTCTAGTGCTGTTGAATGACAAATGATCAAAGTGGCCAAATAGGCTGAAAAATGCACAAAATGAAATTCAGACCCATAAAATTTGCTAAAAAAACTCAATTTTGCTTTTAGAGGATAGTGAACATGGAAAAAATACAACTGAGTGACCACTGAATAAAAAGTCAACTTTTTGACCACTAATCATTTTCAAAAGGAAAAATCAATCATTTGTTTGCAGTTAGAGCTTTTTTCGTGCAACAACTTTCATAAAGCATTTGAATGGCTGTACATTATATAAAATTCACTTTTTCTTATGATAGGGTCTGTTTTTCACAGGGCATCCTCAAAGTAGATGTTTAGTGGAAGTTCTACTTTAACCCCTAATAATGGATGCTGTGTTTTCCAGATCATCTCCACACCAAAAATAGCTTCTGTGCAATGAAAAGATAAATTGATTAAGCTATTAAATTTTGTTGTAAAACCAATGGTTTAGGCAAGAAGATTTTTTGAATGAAAACAATCTTACATAAAATATATCATTTTGCATTTACGTGTTATGCTTATACTTAGGATATTGACAACTGACAGCTCTAATTATGGAAGTTGGATAACTCTTTAAAAAGTTCACAAGAATCATTTAACAGCTTCTTTTTGTGATGCACTGTTCGGGAGATACCATCACTATTGTTTTCATTTTCAATTGAAAGTACTGTACATGTGACCACAAAAAGGCAATAATTTTCCCACAATTACTGGTTAATACTGTTATAAATATAATTATTACTAAACTGCATGTTTAAGATTATGCTAATTCTGATGGCATTAAACAGCTTATAAAAATATTTATGATTACAATAAGCAGAGTCTACTGTATTACCAAAAATAAAACTTGTTCCACTGTTCTAAATTTTTTTCTTTCTTATAATGGACAATAAATATTCACAAAAAAAGAATTTTATTTCAATATTAGACTTCAGAATGGTATCAAAGCAGTTAATATAAAACAGCCATAAAATCAAAGTTTAAACAAGTACATATGCAGAAATATTTCTAAAATTAGTTTGATTTCATGCATTTTGAAAAACTGAACATTACAACAGTAATCTTCCCATAAAGAATTCTCATTTCTTAATATATACAAAATTAAAATGCATGCAAGGTAAACTAAAATAAAAAATTTGTAATAAGACATTTTTAAAATTAACTAATAAAAACAGAAAAATAATATGAATATATTAAGTTACTGTATGCTGGCTAAAAAATAGTTTTTATATTTATAAGAATAAAAATGATAAAAATAAACACACACACTATTTATACTTTATTGTTTGTTTATAATTAATTGCAATAAAACTTATATTTGTATTTGATATATATGATATACATACTTTTGTTTTTCCATTTTTGATAATATGACCTTCATCTAAAATACAGTAATTCCAATGGAATGAACTGAAGAAATCAATGTCATTTCGAACAATATCGTATGATGCAATTATTAAATTATGTTTTTTTGCTCTATTGCGAAGTCTGAAAAGTTTATGAAATTACAATTAGATAATTTTTAAAATAAATTTTATTTATATTTGAAAATTTAATGTTTAGATATTATTTTATTGCACAAATATCTTTAAATAAATATACTAAAAAAATAAAATGTTTTTCTTAATGTTAATTATAAAAGCATTTATATATTAATTTTAAGAAAATAATATTTTAGTTCTAATAATAAAATTTTGTTTATAACTTAACCCAATCTGTACATATGTAATAAGACAACAACTACCAAATTATATTGGGCTATTATATCGTGATTAATTTAAATTATTTACTGAATAATTTGTCACTAGAGGAATGCATTAGGTGCCATCTCTTATTAGATTTAATCATTATAATTAAATTAAATAATTTAGAAAAATCTGGAAGAAAAGAATTGGCCTGAACTGGAGGCATCAGGAGTGTAACTGGCAACACATCTGCACACTAAGTGGCAGTTGATGGTTTGAGTCCCACTTCAAGTCAATTCTTTTCTTCCAGAGTTTTCTAAATTATTTCATTTAATTATAATTATTAAATCTAATAAGAGATGGCACCTAATACCTCCCTCTAGTGACAAATTATTTAGTAATTAATTTAAAATATTGTGATATAATAGCCCAATATAATCTAGTAGTTGTTGGCTTATTACATTTATAACTTATTTATATCATTATAAATTTTTTAAAATTAATAATCTGAAAGCAAATGTAAAAACTTAAAGATAATTATCAAATTCTTTATTCTGTTATTGGTTAATATCAGAAGCAATTTTTAATATTCATTAATAAATGCATATCATAAGATATATAGTTTTACTTAAATATAATGTTTACAATGAATAAAATAAATGTAATCTACAGTTTACTTGAAAATTAGAATTATTCTTCAAAATTAATAGACATTCTTGCACTATTCTCAGTAAAATTACATTAACTAACATAATTAATACATGTATAACTAGTAATGTTAAAAAAAACTATTATAAATTCCATCACAGATACAAAAACATTATGAAATGATGTAAAATGTCAGGATTGGACCACCAAAGGCAGTTAGGAGTGCAGCATCTACTTTATATATATATATATGTTTAATAAGAGATAGCACCTAATGCCTACCTCTAGGATAAATTACTTGGCATTTAATTACTAACATTACTAACAGTAGCAGTAATATAGCCCAATCTAATCTGGCAATCTATTGGCTTTTAGATGTTTATACAGTAGAGCGTCGTTTATCCGAAAGAATTCCAGTCGGCAAATTTAAATTTTCACTAGTGCTGTGGTGCTGCAATCTTTGGCTATACCTTGGCTACTCCAATATTTTTTTGTTGATGTATGTTTTAGCTGGCAGCACTGGCACTTTTGTGTGGTTTTTTTCTGAGGACTGTGTGTCATGCTGAATCAAATGTTTTTGATACTAGATTAACTTCTAAAGTATAATTTTTTTTGTTTTTATATTTTTAAATATATTTATTTTGTTTGTAAAAAATAAACAAATTATTTTTAACGATACAATAGCCACGATTATTATTTTAAAAAGTTTACATTAGGCTTAACATCGATGAAAATTCAACGCGAAGTGACACGCAACGGAGAAAAATTTCAACGTGGGATATTTTTTCATACATAATTGGTTATCCGAAAAACCCCAGTCCCCAATTGATTCAGATAAACGATGCTCTACTGTATTTATCTACAAAATATTAAGGATCAAACTTTCATGCTTAAAAGGACCCTAATATATTTGACTTTTTTAAGATATCTGGTTTGTCTGGTAATATATTTAACAATCTCTATTAAATACATTATTACATTTTTTTGTAGGCAGTCTAATTCTAATCAAACATGACATTATACATATTCACCTAGGTACCAAATATAATATAAGGAAAAAATTGTGCTGTCTGTCTGCATTAGATTTATATATGTCGAAAGTACTTGCATATATTGATATTTAATTAATCAAGTAAATAAATCTACATTATATATAGCTTAAATTTTTATCTAAAANATCCCCTTTCCTATCTCGCTTTACTCTTTCCCCTTCGCCTCTTCCCTTAACTACCTTTCCTTTACTCTTCTTCACACTCGGGCAATACCAATGAGTAGTCCCGAGTCTTCATCCCCTTTATGAAAATGAAAATGTTATATATAGTTCCATAGTCTGTCAAGTATTTACAGGAGCTTTGAACCTGAACAGTTCAGGACTCCAGTGTAGAGACTGTCTTGTAGACAATATGAAGTCTGTTAAAAAAATAATCAAATTTTATTATTTTAATTTTTATTCTTCAATTTACAGATTATTAGTACTTGTCCCCTTCAAAGTACTCCCCTCCCCTCCCCTATTCACACACTTATCTCAGCGGTGTTTCCACTTTGCAAAGCAGTCCTGGTATGCTTGTTTTGGACAGTCCTTCAATGCTTGTGGTGAATTTGTTTTAATGCCATCAATTGTGTCAAAAAGGTATCCTTTCAGCACCAATTTTAATTTTGCAAACAAGAAAAAAGTCACAAGGAGCCAGGTCTGGTGCATAGGGAGGCTGGTCATTTGATTTCTGGAACAAAACAGGCAAATTGACAGGCTGAGTGAGCAGGTATGTTGTCATGGTGAAGGAACCATGAATTGTCTTGCCACAACTCTAATCTCTTTTTGTAAATTTTTTCATGCAATTGTTTCAAATACCTGCTTAGTACTGATGGTTGACTGTTTGACCTTGAGGCAAAAATTTAAAGTGCACAACTCTAATTTTCTGAACGCGAGTGTCTTCAGTTGAGGTCGAAGGCTTTCCTAGTCGATGGTCATCTTCAACTAATTAATGACCACTTTTGAATCGGGTAAACCATTCGTAACATTGCGTACAACCTACAGCATTGCCTCCATAAGCTTTGATTCAAAAGTTGAAATGTTTCCATAAAAGTTTTCCCCAGTTTTATGCAAAACTTCACGTTGCATCATTGCTCCAATAAATTGCACATTGCAAAAATTGCCACAAACACTGAACACCGTTCACTCAAAAAACAATAATGCAGGAACAAAATGAGATTATCAACAATCTGAAGAAAGCAGCTTACTCGGTAGATTATCATTAACGTAGCATTGTCTACTTCACAACACTAGGACACTCCATTTTTGCCCAATTCAAAAAGTTCAATTATTTTTTGAACAGACCTTGTAATGCATACCTATATTTACTGCTTTAATTACTACACAACATCATGAATGTATGTATGATAATTCACAGCATGTATTGTTTATCACCAGTTTGTTTTGCCAAAGTAATAAAAATATCAAGTGATGAAGTTTGCGCTATATAGCAGAAATCCTTAAGCACCCATAAATTTTTCATCCATACTTGGAGTCAAAGATTATGGTTAAAATTATGCTTTGACACAATATAAATTCCTAAGTTTTCTTAACTTTAAGAAAAAAAACCTTGACATTTCCAGCAAGGAAAATTCTGCAGTTTTCAAGGTCACTTGCCATCCTGGCTTATATTCTCATAATACTTAAATTCGAAGCACTATTTAAGCCTGATATTTAAATTAAAAAACACACTAAAAAAATCTAATATTTGGTTGAAATGTTAATCATCTTTTTATATTTATAAACTAATTTTTAAGGGTTGTAATAGCAAAAGAAAATATAATTCATCTTTCAGCTTCTAGTCTGTTTTCAAATATCAATAAGTAACCAATTCAAACATTGCTTGTTATTCTCCAGGAATTATCATAATTTCTAGAGAATAACTCAGATGCATTTGGGAAATATTGTAATTTCCAAAATATGTCTGGGTAAAATAAAGATGTTGATTAGATAGTATTTTCAGAGTCTGTGGATGTGATCATTCCTAGAGAATAATGATGTTCGAACCTATTACATATTGAAAAAAGAAAATGTTTGAATAGAAAAATTTTAAACTCTCAAATTTCAAGGAATCTAATTCTCTGTTCAACTCAAAATTTATTCAGATCTTACTCTAAGAAGTCTTGTTTTTCTTTTGATTTAACATTTTCAGAACTTTCTTCTTAAGATAAAATTTAAATACAAAAAACTTTAAAACCAAAAGAAAAAACTTCTTAAAGTGAGGCTGAGTATATTTTAACTATTTAAAGATTTTCATTCACTTTTATAACCACTTAAAAGGAGTTTTTTGGATGAATGAACCCCTTTTATGTGGTTACAAAAGTGACTGATTATATCTGTCAAATATTGTTAAATTTAGCTCCATATTAAAGATTTTCATGTTTATCAAATACAAGAAATTAAAGTAATGGCTGAAATTTATAATTATATAAAATCTATTGAAAAGCTAGTATTTTATGTAATTAAACATTTTATGATAAAGTTTTCACCAATTTCACAATTATAAAATTTAACTTAGTGAAAGCTTGTTTATAATAGGATTTTTAAATATAATAATTTTACAAATATTCAAATAATTTATAATTTTTCAATAACCTTTATTATAGTTTGTAAATATGAGGATTGGAATTTTAACAATGGAAACTCTGAAATTACAATCTGTAATCTGTACAAAAAACATACATGTTTCAGATTTTTACTGTTCTTTCAGTGTAGTCACCAGCAGTGGGTAAGACCTGCTGCCAGCAATGTGGAAGTCACAGGATGCCATTGACAGAACCTACTTGATTGCCTGAACAGGGCAGTCTATTGCCTGAGGAATATCTGGAATATTTCTGAAGCACCTTCCCAGTGGTTTCTTCATTTTAGGGATCAACTCAAAGTAACAAGGGCTTATGTCTGGAGAATATGGTGGATGGTAAAGAACTTCCCAGCCTCAGTAACTGTACAATGTGGCCACACATTGTGCAACATGCACTTGAGCATTGTCATTCAAGATAATGGGTGGGTTCTGCAGAAAGTGTTTCCACTTTTCTCTCAAAGCTGCCACAAATTGTGTTCCAAAAATGCAGAGAAATACTGCACATTTATGATCTGGCCTGGGGTATGGTGTTCACTTTTTCTTCACTTGCACGGGGACAATGTGGACAAGGCTTATGTTTCTCATTTTCATGTCCCTCATTGAAGGTTTTACCCAAGTTGCTATTGTTCTATACAGTAAAGCATATTTCTCCACAAGTTCTCTAAGACTCCTTGGCAACACTGTCATGCAATATAAACTCTGGCAGTTTTTATCTTTATCCTACTTCATTGTTCCAATTTTGAGAACATGATAAGATCAGGTAATAGCAACACGCCTTACCTGGTCTTATCGTATTGTCACTGAACAGGTGCATGGAGATGAATGGTGAAGTCCATTTGCTCTGAGATAAGGTAGATATGTAACCAACATCTAGTGCTATAGAAACCCAATACTGGTTGCATTGTGTTGGGTTTCTATAACACTGTTGCCACTATTAAATTTTCAACCCACATATGTAAAAAATTGGTATATTAATAAATAAATATTAATAGATATTATAAGAACTGGAAAATTATTAAAACAACACATAAGATAACCTTCACATCCAGCAATTAATTTATTTTGCACAAATGTTTCTAGCCTTCTTTACTGGTCATCATCAGACATTTTAGAACAATGAAAAATTCCAAGCTAATAGAATCAAATTTAAGAACTTTAGAACAGAAACACAATTCAGATGCTTTCAAGTTCTTTAATTCAATTGCATTAGTTTGGAATTTTATGTTTTTTGTGCTAAAATGCTTCAGAATGGCAGTAAAGATGGCCAAAAAATATTTGTACAGAATTGAGAATGGACTCTAATATATATAATACACAATACCTTTTGCATATTTGTTAATGTTATAATCCCTGAGTATTTAGATGCAAAAGTTGAAACATGTTTTTCTTCTTTGTCTTTCTGAATATCTACTGATGGAGTGAAACTTGAATCAGCACATAAGAACCCTATAAGGTTCTTAATTATTTTAATATTAGGACTTGGATTTCTATTTACACATATATTTAAAAGCATCACTAAATGAGTAGCAGATGCTTTCTGAAAAAAAAATTAAATNCTGGACTTTTTGTTTCCTATTAATTAAAAAGATTTCCATAAATATCATTTTATAACTGATTTTTACATTATTTATGTCTGATCATAGTAACTGATATTTTATTTTTTCAATATAAAATATATTAAAATATGTTTTCTTATATATATTTTTTAATTTTTGAAGATAGATATCAACTGTTCTTTGGGACTTCTCTATTTACTTGTAAAGAAAAAAAATGATTGAAGTATAATGTATTATGGGCTTCTGTTAAAAAATTAAATAATTAACAATTACCACATTTACTCAAGTAATCCACACACCCCATTTTTTTAGAATCTATAAAAAAAAAACCAACAGTTTATTATATATTTAAGAAAGTTTACTAATTTATGATTATAACACAATGGCTACATTCACTCTTGATATTTTGTAGCATTCAATACGGCAGTTCTCAATTAACAAGTCAATGTGGTATTAAAAAATAAAAAATACTAAGGAAAAAATAATAAGTTATTTGTACATTAGATAAATATAAATTATCTGCAATTTGCAATAATGTATTTTACAATGAATTAACTTACTAATTAAATGAAAGTAAAACCCCCTTAAACTGTTTAATTTGAATCAAAGGTGAAAAACACATAAAAGACCAATAACTTGAACTAAGAGATAATATACAGGTATAAAGATTATATACTGTCAGCTTCACTTCTATATTTAACTTGCTTTATTTATCTTCATTTTCACAAAATTAGTTGCACCAAAATGTTTAATAATATTGCTCATAATCATTATCTACTACATTTAACACTAGTAAAATAAGCAAAATGCATACTAATTGGTAACTGAAAGCACCATAGACTTCATACACTGTTGCCAAATTTATTTTGAATAAACCTCACATCCCAACTTTTTGTTATAATTTTTTGGAGTAAAAGTGTGCAGATTATTCAAGTAAATACAATGTCATAATAAAAAAACAACTTTTAGTGGTTAATTATTATAATCTTGAAACAGCAATATTAGTTTCTTCTTTCTTATTTCATTATTCAATTATTCAAGTATCAATAAATATTATGACAATAATGCCAATATGTTTGTATATTTAAAAAAAATAAACAATCTAGCAATATAGTAAATTATAAAAATCTTTGAACTATAGAAAAACCTTCACAACATTAAAAATTCCCAAACAACAAGCTAAAAATTATTTATATAAAAAAGCATGGTTTTAGAATTTTGTATTGTCCTTTATCAGTTTCTAATGGGGAGTTGGTGCTGTGTTTGAGGCTGCTTGTGAATTTTTGTTTCAGCTTTGACATGTTGCTTGGATGTCATACATATTCCAGAATAATGAAGGGATACCGGAAGATCCAATTTGATATGAATAGAATGAGTTCTAAATTAATTAAATGTTTGCTATTAATCTCAGGAGTTGAACCTAAACCGGGACCTTTGTCGAGATCCCCTCTGGATATAGATAGAGTTGATATGCAAAAGAGAGGTCGTGGCAGACCTCGTAAGGGGGACACTAGAGAAACTGGAAGATGTCTTTTAACTGAAACGGTGGAGGAGGATCTTGTTTTACTAGAAGAAGAATCGTCGACACAAAACTCGGTGGGAGGAAGAGATGCAAAAATACAGGATTATTTTACTCCATCAGCTGTTGGGGAGGAAGACCTCGGTGATGAAGCAAATTATACTATTAAAACAGTTTATGATCTAATACAGGAGAAGTTCTCTCAACTTTATGTGGATCTGAGTGAAATTAAGGAAGAGTTAAATACATTGAAAAAGAGGTATACTGATATAAAGGAAGACTTGAGTATTGTGTCTCATAAAGTGGAAAAAATGGAACAGAGTGCTAATTGCGACGGACTGTTGAGAGGTAAGGTAGAATTTCAATTGGATCAGTTGATTAATGAAAAAACAAGAAACAATATTGTTATTTTTAATTTTCCGTTTATAACTGAGGATCCGTCGGCTGAGATATCTCAATTTATAAAAAATGAAATAGGCATAAAGGAATTCAGTTTGGTCAGTTTGGTTAGAATTCCTAGAAATAATCCTAAGACTATAGTTAAAATTTCTCTTGCCTCATTATATGAGAGAAACTTAGTTCTTAATGGGTTCTGGAAGGTAAAGCCGGGTTTGTCGAAAAGGTTCAAGGAGAATATTATCTTGACAGCTGACTTGTGTAAACGACCTAGAGTTAGGAGACGAAAACTGGTTGCAAGGATAGTACAGGAGAAGTCCAATGGCCAAAAAATCATAGTTACAGATGACTATTATATTAAGGATGGTGTAGTGTTTACTTATGATATATATACAAATGGAATTATTCAAATGGATCGTTTTTTATAAGAAACCAGAGGTCTGGCGCCGATAAGCAGCCAGGGTTGACGGATGATAGTGAGGAGAAGGTAGTAGAGATGGAAAATAATAATTCTGTGACTCGATTAAGTAATAATCGGAACTCAATACATTTGTCTTCTCAGGTATTGAATAGTTGTGATTTAGCTGAAAATGTGCACATTACCTTCTGGAATATTCAAGGTATGGTTAATAAAATTAAAGACTGATCTATTCAGCAGTACTTATTGTCAAATGATGTTGCGGGTATCTCCGAGATGTGGTCGGTTGACACTGGTTTTTTGGAGAACGTGGGTCTTCAGGATGTGTTTTGGATATCTCATAGTGCGGCACTCAGGGAGCACAGAGTAGGTAGACCAGCAGGAGGTCTTTTGTTGTTAATTAAGAGATCATTAGGTATTATGAGGTATGTTCAAGAGAAACCTTGGTATATTACTGCCTTAGTTGAACTCAGCCCTAAATTTCATAAACTGTAGAGAACTAGATTCTTAGGAATTGTAGTGGTATATATTAATCCATCTGTAAATTTTAGTATAAATATTGATGAAGAATGGTGTACAAGAAAGGAGACAGGGCCAGTCCAGCAAATTATCGCCCGATAGCTTTACTTTCGACATTTCGCAAACTATTTACTGCTATGTTAGCGAAAAGATTTATTGAATGGATCAAAGATGAGAATTTGATTAATCCAACCCAATATGCTTTTAAATCAGATGGAGGTACTCAGTTAACCTTGTTTGTCTTGTTGGCCACTGTTCAGCTGCAATTAAACAAAAAAAGACAAAGTTTATGCTCTGTTTGTTGATCTCAAAAAGGCATACGACTCTGTGAATGTTCGATCCTTACAAAATAAGATGTTACAACATAAAGCTGATAAATATTTGGTTAAATTGCTAGGTCTTTTGTTTGGCCACTATGAGATAATCTGTATATTTAATGGAGATCAGGGTTGTCCTCATTCGATAGAACGAGGTTTGCTACAGGGAGACCCTTGGTCACCTTATTTATTTAATTTTTATACTTATGATATTAATGATATTTTTGATAATGAAGATGATGGATTCCTGATTGGTAATACAGTGATTCATTCTATCTCGTACGCTGACGATATTGTTGTTATAGCACCGACGGCGGTTGCCCTGAGAAGGAAGATACGTTTATTAACTATGTACTTTTCTCAATTGGATTTGAATATTAATCCTAAGAAATCTCACATAATGATATTTAGGAATGGAACAAGGTTGCCTAAGAAACATATGTCATTTTTTATTAACAATACGGCAATTAGCATAGTCAATGAAACAGTTTCTAGGAGTGTTTTTTTCACCATTACTTTCCTTTGAGAGCCAAATTAAAAATATGATGACTAAATCAAATGGGTTAATCCAAGGTGTTGCGAAGTTGTTTGCTAAGACTGGCTTGGGTTATATACAAACGCAGTTTAAGTTGTTTCAGTCCTTGGTTTTTAACTCAATAAGCTATGCTTCTCCTATATGGTGCCTCTCCAATGTTCAAAAATTAGACACTATCCAAAGTAAATTTATACGCAGATTGTTTTGGTTAGATTATACTAAGATTGGAGATTAGTAGATTTAGTCTTATGGCGCTCTTCGTTAAAAGATGTATAAAGTTGTTAATTAAGATTAGAGATGGTGGTGAATTTACATTTAACCTCCTAAACCAACTATACAAAAATTCCATTAACAAATTTTCTAACAGGAACTGGATTTCAAATCTGTCTAAAATAATTAATGGTTATGATAGTTCGATCAAACCATTTATATTTTCGCCAGAACTTGGAGAAGAAAGTTATCAGCAACTAATACGGAATGTACTAGAAATTTCTCTATCGCGAGATATAGAGGATACTCGCTTATGAATTTGATTGAATTGTTATAATTCACTATTATTATATCCAAGTAATAATAGTTATATATTTTTGAGCGCATCATTTTGTGTGAAGAGACTTTTTATACAACTTCGACTTAATCCTAGTACACTGGTGATAGACAACAAAGTGTATATATACGAGAATAATCTATGCCCAAGATGTCATATGCCATTTTCTAAATTTCACCTGATTTGTGAATGTGAGAAGAGCCTAGAGTTGAGACAGAGATATGATCTTGTAGACTTTAGTGGATGTGAATTGGTGGAGGCAATGTATGGGATGTTTCATCATGCATCCCAAAAAAATGTTTTCAATTTATATAATTATGTTAAGAAGTTTTTCGATATTTAAACGTTTTTGTACCTGTACTAAGTATAAAGACAAGGAGTAGAACTCCCATTGTAACAGGCAATTGCCTTCTATTAATAAAATTTGACTTTATTTATATTATCAGTTTCTAATAAAATAATGACCATGATAAAATTATTTAAGCAATAAACGATGATATTAAACTTCTGAATAAAGTTAAATTTAGTTTTTAATTTTTATTTGTAGTCAGAAAAATTATAATTATAGTCTTAAAGATATGAAAGATAAAGTAGCATATAATGCTTTACCCCAAAAAGAATGTTTTTTCTAACAAAATTTATAAACTTACTTTGTACCGCTTTTCTTGTAAGTAATGATCACCAGCTAAAATACAGAGAGATTGCAAAGTTTTTCCTAATCCCATATCATCACATAGGATTCCATGCAACTTATATTTATTCAAGAAGGCAAGCCAATTCACTCCATCCTAAGTAATATTTAAATTTAGAAATTTAAATTTTATAATAAAAATGTAAATAATTTATTTATAAATATATATCATTCATACAAATAAAATATGCAGCTATATCCAACATTTCTATTATCATCAATATATTATTATGTTAAGACATATTACCAATAAACATTTTATTAATTATATTCTGTTAAATGATATCCTTCAATACAATTTATTACAGTGAATAATTCAAGTTCCTCATTCTTAAGTTTATGTGTACAGTGCACTGGATAAAACATATTTTAATAAAAATTCAAGTATGTATATTTGCATAAAAATTTTATAAATATTTAAAAGTTGCAATAAAATTAAATGACATCAATACAAAAGTGAAAAAATTTTAGTTCTTTAATGCTTATAGAAATACCAGCAAGCTACTTTTTTCACTTATATTGTGTTTCAATTGCTGAATTTCAATTATGGCATTTATACTAGTAATACTTTATTAGTTTCTCTATTTTTGTTTTAATTAACATTAATTTAAAGTACATAGATTTATTTTAAAAAGTCCTTTATGAAAAATATTAAATTTTTTCCAGAAACAATCAACATTTATACTTATTACATATTTTAGTTTTAACTTTCAAATTTTATTATTTTTAATTATGAATAGTTTTGAACAATCTTTTATAGAGATTGTTCAAAACTATTGTGCAACTTCTATAAATATATATGCAACTGAATTTTTCATCAGAAAACAGTGGATTTACAAAAATTACAGTTCATAAATGAATACAATTAAAGTATTTGTAGTGATCATATTTAATATTTGTGTTTATAAGTATTGTATAATATTATAAGCAAAATAATATAAAAATTTTATGAAACTTATATTAGCATTCTTTGATTTAGAACAAAGTAGTATCAAACTGCTAATATTTTTATTTATTTATTAAATATAATGCTTATTACCATGCATCATATTATATATCAAATTAAAATAATTAAAAAAAAAAGTGTTCATAATTTGATTTATAATTCATAATTCAAGCTTACTCTAATAACAATATACTGACATAAATATAAAATCAATAACTAACCTGTTGATATGATCTTAATTCTGCATTTATTTGCACAGGAACTTTAAAATTTTCAAGTTTTTTTGAATCCATTAATTGTTCCAAAAAACGTCGTTCTTCTGCTTTTCTCTGTATTAATTCAGGACTAAGATCTGGTGGATCTTTCATTCCTCCCTGAAATAGAAATTACAGACATTATATTTTAACTGTTAATTTGTAAAAAAATACAGAAATGACAAATATACGAATTATGCTGTCTATATTTAATAACAAAAAAAGTAATAATTTTTTGTAATGTAATTAAACAAAAATTTTAATTTAATTTAAATATAGAAAAAACAAAATATCAGAAAAAGTTATATATATACTATAAAAACTAATGTATTTTTATTATATTAAAATTATTTAAAATAATGTTTAAAATTCTTACTTCAAGTGGCATCAATCTAATAAGTGAAGCAAAACAATGTGTTGCCATTAATCTAACACTTTCATTTTGGTCACTCATGCGTCCAAGCATGGGGACAACAAGCAGAACTATGTACGGAACAATGTCTAAATTCATTTTATTAATAATACCTTAAAGTGGTTAAGGTTATAATTCAATACATAAACCAGTTAATTTTAAACATTAAGCTATATTAAAAATTATATTACTTAAATTAAAAGTTAAGGAATTTGTCAAATTCAGTCTGATATTTATATATTTGAAATTTTAAATGAATCTTTTAATAGTCTAATAACCTTTAATATAACTTTTTATTTATTTATAACCTTTAACAGAATTTATAAGGCTAAGTACAAATAAGAATAATACTTATTCATACATACTTCATTACAATAGAAAAATTGTATTATTATATTAATTTCTTAAAATAATAATAATAATGTTATAATTAATGTTCTATTTCTTATTAAGTTCTTTAATAAGTTCAATAAGTTAATTTTTAAAAAGTTAACAAAATATATATAACATTAAATTTTTCTATTATTATTAAAAATTCAATAAATTATAAGGATACAATATAAAGTTTCTACTGCCCCTTGTCTTGATATATCATTATCTGTTGCCCCAAGTTTTCCTAGAATTTTATTAAAAACTATTTGCAATGTTGCTAAAGTAATCACTTTACTTAACATTCCTAGACATCTTGCTACCATATGTCTAACAGCACTATAAGGGATATCTAAACAGCAGCATAAATGTGGTAATATTGATTCCAGCTAAAAACAAAAAAGGTGTTGAATATTAAATATAAAAAATAATAGCAAGTTAGTGTTATATTTTAATTATATATAAATTGTTATTATTAAAAATAACTAAGGCCAGAACATCTAAGCATAAAAAACTCATAAATAGTTTTTTATAACTATTTATATATGATTTTTTTATGCTTAGATGTCCTAACTATATCAATAACATATTTATATTTTAATTAATAGAGAGTATCTAATTTTATTAAGAATGTAAAACAAAAAACTCTAAATTCTATATTTTAACAATATTCACACAATCACTACTTATAACAATAATACATATACAGTCATATACAGTAGAGCATCAATTATCCGACCCCCGATCAAGTGTCACATCGGTTAACCGACCATTCTAATCAGCAAATTTCAAATGTCTGCTAGTGATGTGGCACTACAATATTTGGCTATGTCTTGGCTACTTTAATATTATTTTTGTTAAATTTTTGCATGTTTTAGCTGGCAACACTGGCTCGACCATGAAAGGGAGGCCAGTATTTAAACGAGGCTTAATTTTTTAATTATGAGTGGTTGTTTGTTTTGTGAGCAATAAAATAATTTAAAAATAATTTTTAATGATACAGTAGCAATGATTATTATTTAAAAAAAAATTTTGTTAGGCTTAACATGGAGGAAAATTCAACACGAAGTAGATTAATAGCGATATACTAATTACATGGGATATACTAATATACTATACTAATAATGTATTTTTTCATACTTTTTGGTAATCCGTTTTTTCAGTTATCCGACCAACCCCAGTCCCCAACTGAGTCGGATAATCGATGCTCTACTGTATACTTGTAGATGTAGGAGCATATACAGTAAAACTTCGCTTATGCCAATTCAATATAACGCAGTTTGCTTGAAGCCTAAAAAAATCTCAAAATTTATACTGATTTAAATTATTGTGGCATTTCATTGATTCATATATAGTAAGATTATTTGCAAACACAAACCAATCAGCAAAAGGTGGCAAAAAGGTGTACTTTCTTTAAATCTATGTTTGTTTTGTGCAATTTTGGAAAAAATATAACATCATGGATGCCATAAGAAATATTGACTTCGCTTGGCAAGAATTAACTGATAAATGCATGAATGAAGTATGGAAGAAGTTATGGCTGAAGGTATCCAAGAATTCTCAATGAGAAGAGCCTATCGCTGTATCGTTAGGTTGACCGAACTCAACCTAATCGATATAGCAGGACTTGGAAATATAGATGAGCAGGATATTGAGGAGTTACAGCAGGTTTCTGGTGAGAGCCTTACCAACGACGACCTTCAAGAACTGGCAGAACAAGGAATTCATGTAGAATTGGAAAACAGAGATTCTGAAAACGAAGAACACAAAAAATTTCTCTACAAATTTCCTTAGTAAAAGTTTGGTAAGATAACTGAAATTGTTGATCAAATTGTAGCAAATGATCCAGATTTTGAAAGGAGTGCAAAAGCAAAATGAGGCATTTTGGATGTGATCTTCTGCTACCGTCATTTGCTTAAAGAAAGAAAAAAGCTACAAATGAAACTTCCCAGCTTTATTGCAAAAAAACAAGAATTTCAGAAACGTCAGGACTTTCATCATAAAAAATGAACTTTACATTTCTGTGTGCCTGTTTCTGTTATTTAACATATATTATTATACAAATTAATATAAAAATAACTTAAAATTAACGTAAAATTTGTTTATTTTTGGTCATGTGTTCCCCTATCCCTATTTACTCTACGTTAAAATGACCTCGTTTAACACAGTTTTGCTTAGCGCTTTGTTGTATAGAAACGCATCCCCCACATTAAACGGGGTGTTACTGTATTTTATTTTCATATATCATTAGGAATTTTACGTATTGGAAATAAATAAAATACCTCTGGATGAAGTGATTTATGGAAATATGGACCAATTATTTCTAATAGTTGCAAGCTGATGACTAGGTCTTGAGCAAGAGGATCTTTGTCAGTAAATGTAGAACCATCTTAAAATAAAATAATAATAATAATAATAATTTTTGTTAATGTAACAATACTTAATTTTCAAAACAAAATACTTATAATTAAATATAATAATTTAAATTCAAATTATAATTAAATTTCTGACTTTTTTACAAACTATTTTTTAAGTTATATGAAAATTAGATCACATTTCTCAAAAATAAGGCCAGTAAAAACTGAGCAGTTTAATTATAATTTAGTTTTAGTTATTTTAAACGCTAATATAATTTTTAAAAAATTATTATAAATACTGCTTCTAAAAGATTTTAACATTTTAATAATATATTGATAATTTTACCAAAACTTTCAACATCAATAATTTGCTTTAAAGAAGAAAATATTGTTTCCCAGAGGCTTGGCAATTTCTGAGGTAATTCATCAGCAAAGTATGTTGCTGCTTCAGTTATTGCAAATGTTGCACCTCTCCTTTGAAGTTCATTTTGATTTGGTTTCTTTAAAAATAATTAAATTATATTTAATAAAAACTTTATCTAATAACACATTAATTTTTTAAAAATATAAATAAATTTTATTTTACAGTATAAATGAAAATTAACCAATATTTTAATATGTATGATCTTTAATTTACACTGATTGAAAATAAAATAATTTGAAGCCATGAAGAATTACATTGAAAAAAAAATAAATTTATATTATTTAACAGTAATTAGTAATATACTTCAAGATTATTTTCTTATGATTGAATTAATTACTTAATATAGTAAAATATAGAAGATAAAAAATATATATAAAACATTTAAATATTATGTAAAAGAGACATCTTTGAATATTATATACATAACTTTTTAAGCACATGGACATTTTTAAAGAACAGTAGAGCAGTTTACAATAAAAGATTGATGATGTTAGTTTAAAGTGCTCATTTTAATGGTATTTTTCAAAAGGGCCATTTTGTAAATTTTAAAATAATTTTTATGCCTTTGAATATACAGTCAAATATTGTTAATATGTTACCAGTTTATGCAAAGTTTATATTAATACAAAGTATATTTGCAATGGACAAGGAAGGATAGTCATTTCAATGTTAACTAGTTCTGTTAATATTAATATAAAGCACCAATTTTTTTAAGTCTCTTCAACTTGTATTAACAGGGTTTGACTGCATAATATATCAAATACAATTGGACCATGATGTATTAAAATGAATTATAAATTCATTAATATAAAAATTAATGTTAAATACAATGATGTGGAAATAACAAACATATATACTTATAAATATCATATTCAAGAAAGATGAATAAAAAATATATATATATAATGATATGACAAAATATAATAAAATTTACAGTGATTAATTTACACTGATTGAAAATAAAATATTTGAAGCCATGAAGAATGACATTGTAAAAGAGCTAAATTTATTTGCTTCTTTAAACTGAAAAATATTTTGTAAAGCAAAATAAAGATTAAAATTTGAAAAACTTGAAATTGGGATGAAACAATTTCAGGTATATTGTAACTCAAATAAAAATCACAGATTTAATTAAACATGAAAATATTGATATTAATTTATTTTTGTAAATATTAGGTAAAATTATACTGATAAAGGATAAATATAATTTAGTGCTGGATATATACACTGTCAAATGGCATTAAAATCCTTTTTACAATGCAAGTACTTTCAATGATAAAAAATTGTTATTAGGCTAGTGAATATCCCCAATTTGGAACAGAATGCCATAACATACAATATAACATTCTCAATGTTTAAATATTTAAAATTCACAATGGAATTTGAGGTCCATGAGTATGATACAAAACAAACATTTTAAACAAAAGGCACAATGGGACTTTTTATGTCATGAATCCATGATGCATTACAACACAGGATGACTAGGATTGTGTTGTGTTGTGGTTAAAAATTTTAAAAAGTGTGATTAGGGAGCTTGTGTGTGTATATTGCATGAGCACAAAGTGGAAGTGAAGAACGCTTCCCAAATAAATAATGGCTTATGATTGGCACACCTGAAGAGGGTGGTTTGGTTCCACAAAGGGTTGAAATTTAAATCTACAACTTTTTGGTTAGCTTTTTTTTATCTTCTATTTATAATTTATAATATAATTAATCTTTACGTTACAAAATTCTTGCATCATATCATAAAAACAGAAGTCCAGACTGCTTTTTTTCAGATAGTAATCATATTATGTACGGTACCTCAAACGAAAAGATTTGGCTACTTTGCACCCAACTAGCCCATTTTGCTGCACAAAAACTTATTTGATGACTTAACTACATTTTTTGGCTACATAAATTATTTTCTTATTTGTTTTGGCCTAGAATGGCAAGCCTACTCGTGTCACCACACACAAATACAAATAGTCATACAAATAGTTTTAGAGTTAGTTTGTGGCCAAGACAACTTTTTCTTTCAAATATGAACCAAAGAAGCTAAGGTTGGACACCCTTGACTTAAAGGATTGTGAAGACAGTGTTTATTGTACAAAAATCTTTAATGAAAAACTTTAATTTTGTTACTTTTATTCATCTGTTTTGTAATTGTTTTGTTTAAATTAAATTTTTATTTAAATTTAATTTGTAATAAAATAAAATATATATAAATATTATTTTATTTTATCTTATCTTAATTTAAACTGTTGTTCATTTCTATAGCATTTCGATTAATATTCCAAATGAAAGGGCTTAGAAAAGCCAAAAATGTTTTTTCATATAATAAAACATTTGACATGAAAAAAAATGGGTTGCTATTTTTTAAAATACTATTTACTAACTGTTACCCGCAACTTTGCCTGCACAGATTTTGCAAGCAAACCCCATTTATGTTCAGTATTTCAACAATCATAGTAATTGTTATATAACACTTACCACTGAGAATGATGAGAATTGCTGAGAATCAAACAAACTATTTTCAATTTGATCAATTTTCTGGAATGTTTACAATCATTCTATAATCGAACCAATATACAATAACAAATTCGAATTTAAAATGGTTCAAACATTCGGTTAAAAAATTGGAATATATAAAAATATTTATAACAATGTATGAAAAGTTATCAATTAAATACACCTAAGTACGCAATGAAAATTAAACGTAGTTAAAAACAAAAAATTGCATCTAAAATAGTACAGTAGAAATCATTCTTCTGGTTAAGCCTTAATGCTCTCCCTCTCCCCCCTGCAGGGAAATTTCAAAAAATCCCTTCTTAGTTGCGTTTTCATGACGTACCCTAACTGTGTACCAAATTTCACCTCTTTAGGTTCAGTGGTTTGCTCTAGGCAATGATGAATCAATCAATCAATCACTTAGTCAATCAGAACAAGTAATTTTATATATTTAGATTTATATATTGATAAAGATTTAAAAATATCAAATTATTTTTTATTCAATATTGATTTTTTTTCATATTTATAATTATATTTAATAAATAGTTAATTATTTAAAATAATTGAATAATATTAAATATTAATCATATATAGTAAAATTATTCAAAACAATAAAATAATATCACAAAAAGCATGTAATGATTAATGTGTATCATATAATTATAGACTCACATCATCATCTAAATTTAAAGGATCATCATAACTGCAATCAGGATTTGCTGTATTCTTCTTATTTGAAATAGAGTTGGATCTTCTTACTATTAATTTTTCTGCAGACTAAAAATTAAAAAAAAAATCATTTTAAATAACTATATATTTATAAATTACATATAACAACATCCCAAAGCACAATGTATTGATACTAAGCCAAACAATTGCCATAATTAATCAGGCTATTAGAAACTATAACTAATAATTAGAAACTAAGTAATATTTGGTACTAGAGGAAGATGTTAGGCACCATTTCTTATCTAAATTAATAATCATATAATTATATTTATTGTGTGCATCAATCCCAAAAATTTTATCTACATATACAAAATTTCAAAACATACCCAAATAAATTATAAGCCAAAATAATGCCTCATTTTCTAGATTTATATTTCATCAATTTTTTGAAAATTGTTAGTATAATTTGGAACTAGAAGTGAATGAAGTTTCCATTTTATATTAAATTTAATAATTAAAAATGATTTAACTAATTAATAACTTAATATAGAACATCTGGAAGAAAAGAATAACATTTTCAACTTTTCTTGAATTCAATTTTTTGATGCAAGAAATTTATCATGTAGATCCACCTTAGATACTATGCACATGTATATATTATGAAAAGATAGATGTCATTGAATAAATATACAAATTTCACTTTGGCTTTATTTCAAAAAGAAAATTCTGAAGAATTGATGACAATTATTTTTATAAAAAATAATTTTTTTGTAATCAGTTTTATGACTGTAATATGTATTTGAAAAATATCTTTAAAAATATGTTTTAAAAAAGTTGAATAATTAAATACATTTTTCAACAGATCAATTTTTATTTACATTTTCCTGCCAATAGAATTATTAATATATAATTATTAACAAATTTCAAATATTGGTCAGGAATCAGAATTGTCAGGTTCATCCAATCAACAGGCTGTTATATATAGTTCCATGCGAACTACACCATCTCGTAACTGAAAAAGAACTCTTTTATGAACTTCAAACTTTTATTAAGAAGACTAAAGCGCTTGAGACGAACTTTAAAAGAACACATTAGTGTTCTTGTCTCTACACCCTCTATCGATCTACATGGTTNACATTGCAAAAATTGCCACAAACACTGAACACCGTTCACTCAAAAAACAATAATGCAGGAACAAAATGAGATTATCAACAATCTGAAGAAAGCAGCTTACTCGGTAGATTATCATTAACGTAGCATTGTCTACTTCACAACACTAGGACACTCCATTTTTGCCCAATTCAAAAAGTTCAATTATTTTTTGAACAGACCTTGTAATTCATACCTATATTTACTGCTTTAATTACTACACAACATCATGAATGTATGTATGATAATTCACAGCATGTATTGTTTATCACCAGTTTGTTTTGCCAAAGTAATAAAAATATCAAGTGATGAAGTTTGCGCTATATAGCAGAAATCCTTAAGCACCCATAAATTTTTCATCCATACTTGGAGTCAAAGATTATGGTTAAAATTATGCTTTGACACAATATAAATTCCTAAGTTTTCTTAACTTTAAGAAAAAAAACCTTGACATTTCCAGCAAGGAAAATTCTGCAGTTTTCAAGGTCACTTGCCATCCTGGCTTATATTCTCATAATACTTAAATTCGAAGCACTATTTAAGCCTGATATTTAAATTAAAAAACACACTAAAAAAATCTAATATTTGGTTGAAATGTTAATCATCTTTTTATATTTATAAACTAATTTTTAAGGGTTGTAATAGCAAAAGAAAATATAATTCATCTTTCAGCTTCTAGTCTGTTTTCAAATATCAATAAGTAACCAATTCAAACATTGCTTGTTATTCTCCAGGAATTATCATAATTTCTAGAGAATAACTCAGATGCATTTGGGAAATATTGTAATTTCCAAAATATGTCTGGGTAAAATAAAGATGTTGATTAGATAGTATTTTCAGAGTCTGTGGATGTGATCATTCCTAGAGAATAATGATGTTCGAACCTATTACATATTGAAAAAAGAAAATGTTTGAATAGAAAAATTTTAAACTCTCAAATTTCAAGGAATCTAATTCTCTGTTCAACTCAAAATTTATTCAGATCTTACTCTAAGAAGTCTTGTTTTTCTTTTGATTTAACATTTTCAGAACTTTCTTCTTAAGATAAAATTTAAATACAAAAAACTTTAAAACCAAAAGAAAAAACTTCTTAAAGTGAGGCTGAGTATATTTTAACTATTTAAAGATTTTCATTCACTTTTATAACCACTTAAAAGGAGTTTTTTGGATGAATGAACCCCTTTTATGTGGTTACAAAAGTGACTGATTATATCTGTCAAATATTGTTAAATTTAGCTCCATATTAAAGATTTTCATGTTTATCAAATACAAGAAATTAAAGTAATGGCTGAAATTTATAATTATATAAAATCTATTGAAAAGCTAGTATTTTATGTAATTAAACATTTTATGATAAAGTTTTCACCAATTTCACAATTATAAAATTTAACTTAGTGAAAGCTTGTTTATAATAGGATTTTTAAATATAATAATTTTACAAATATTCAAATAATTTATAATTTTTCAATAACCTTTATTATAGTTTGTAAATATGAGGATTGGAATTTTAACAATGGAAACTCTGAAATTACAATCTGTAATCTGTACAAAAAACATACATGTTTCAGATTTTTACTGTTCTTTCAGTGTAGTCACCAGCAGTGGGTAAGACCTGCTGCCAGCAATGTGGAAGTCACAGGATGCCATTGACAGAACCTACTTGATTGCCTGAGGAATATCTGGAATATTTCTGAAGCACCTTCCCAGTGGTTTCTTCATTTTAGGGATCAACTCAAAGTAACAAGGGCTTATGTCTGGAGAATATGGTGGATGGTAAAGAACTTCCCAGCCTCAGTAACTGTACAATGTGGCCACACATTGTGCAACATGCACTTGAGCATTGTCATTCAAGATAATGGGTGGGTTCTGCAGAAAGTGTTTCCACTTTTCTCTCAAAGCTGCCACAAATTGTGTTCCAAAAATGCAGAGAAATACTGCACATTTATGATCTGGCCTGGGGTATGGTGTTCATTTTTCTTCACTTGCATGGGGACAATGTGGACAAGGCTTATGTTTCTCATTTTCATGTCCCTCATTGAAGGTTTTACCCAAGTTGCTATTGTTCTATACAGTAAAGCATATTTCTCCACAAGTTCTCTAAGACTCCTTGGCAACACTGTCATGCAATATAAACTCTGGCAGTTTTTATCTTTATCCTACTTCATTGTTCCAATTTTGAGAACATGATAAGATCAGGTAATAGCAACACGCCTTACCTGGTCTTATCGTATTGTCACTGAACAGGTGCATGGAGATGAATGGTGAAGTCCATTTGCTCTGAGATAAGGTAGATATGTAACCAACATCTAGTGCTATAGAAACCCAATACTGGTTGCATTGTGTTGGGTTTCTATAACACTGTTGCCACTATTAAATTTTCAACCCACATATGTAAAAAATTGGTATATTAATAAATAAATATTAATAGATATTATAAGAACTGGATAATTATTAAAACAACACATAAGATAACCTTCACATCCAGCAATTAATTTATTTTGCACAAATGTTTCTAGCCTTCTTTACTGGTCATCATCAGACATTTTAGAACAATGAAAAATTCCAAGCTAATAGAATCAAATTTAAGAACTTTAGAACAGAAACACAATTCAGATGCTTTCAAGTTCTTTAATTCAATTGCATTAGTTTGGAATTTTATGTTTTTTGTGCTAAAATGCTTCAGAATGGCAGTAAAGATGGCCAAAAAATATTTGTACAGAATTGAGAATGGACTCTAATATATATAATACACAATACCTTTTGCATATTTGTTAATGTTATAATCCCTGAGTATTTAGATGCAAAAGTTGAAACATGTTTTTCTTCTTTGTCTTTCTGAATATCTACTGATGGAGTGAAACTTGAATCAGCACATAAGAACCCTATAAGGTTCTTAATTATTTTAATATTAGGACTTGGATTTCTATTTACACATATATTTAAAAGCATCACTAAATGAGTAGCAGATGCTTTCTGAAAAAAAAATTAAATAAATAAAAATAAATATATGAAATATTTAAAATGTAAAGTTAAAATTATAAAATAATGATTCAACAAAACTCCTTATTAAATTTATATTATATTAAAATTAGTAATGCCGTTTAAAAAATATATATTTCATATAAATTTCATTTTCATATTGTACTGCTTACTATTTTTCTTTTAATTCTATTTATTTCTTATACAAATTTTAAGCAAAACTATTGAATAAAATTCTTTATATCATAAAGATATGAATGGTTTTTGAATGCATAAGCAAGGTAATATTATATCAAAATTTTTAAAACAAATATAATTTGCTTCTGAAGAAGAAAAAACAATGATAATCTGTGTAACTGTGTAAACCTTATCATATTTGTGAAAAATTTCCTTATTAATATATATAGAACCAAATAAATGGCATGCTCATTTATGTTATGTTATTATTTTTCATTACACTGCTCAAAATATGAAAATAAACTAATCAAACCATTAAAGCATCAATTATTTCAGGTTGTATTTTGGCTTGTTAATTAATAAGTGATCCATATAGTTATGTCACTCAGATTAATAGATCTGGAAGCAAAGATCAGACAGAGGTCCAAGTAATTTAACTGGTAAAATCTGCATGATAAACATAAGTTGCAGATTCAAGTTCTGCTCTGGACCAATCTTTTTTCCAAAATATTCTAAAAATTAAATTTAGAACTAAATTTAATAATTAGTATTAGTGCAAGATGATGACATAATTATCTATCTTTAGACAAAATTACTTGATACCATTAATGATTACATAGAAATAGAGCATGAGATAATCTGGCACTTCAATGATTTGATTACTAGTATATTCAAATTTAGTTGTTTATATACAAAAATAAATTAATGTAAAAGAATAATAACTACTTTAATCATCATATCGATGATTTTTGTAGTCATACTAAAAATACTTTGCAAAGAAGAATTTTAAATGAATTTGAATGACAGAAAACCTAAATGATATGTTTGAATGAATGACAATAGAAAAAATATCTATTTAACTGTTCTAATTATTATATATTTAATCAATTTGTCAATGACTAATCTAATTATCCTCTATTTTTATTTTACTAGTTTAATAGTATTTATTTTTAGGATTTTGAAATAAACTGATAATTCTGAATGTTTACTTGTTTTTATTCAATATATTAATTTTTCTAATTAATGTTTTTATTATATGGTTATTGACATATGATACTGATAATTTTAAAAAATATCATTAACTATTTTGATATATCTTATATAATAAAAAATTAAATGTGTAATAGATTCAGAGCTTAAACAAATTGGATGCAAAATGAGACATAAATAAAAGATGTGTTAATGAGTCAAATATCAAAATTTTCTCTTCAAGATTATCTTCATACAAGAGGCTATTGCACATAATTCATAGAATAAGCATAGAAGTGCAGAATATGAAAATTCTGAGAAGTTATCAGACAACATGGAATCAGATCAAAAAATATAATAAATTTGAGTGACAGTTCAAATATTACAATACGAGACAATTTACTGTTTATTCTTATGGATCTCTAATCATAAGTGTAACTCAAGTCATAAGTTCCATATTTAACAGAAATTTATAAAAAGAATCTAATCAATAAATAAATTTTTAAATACAGCCAAATGATTGCCAGATTACATCAGGCTATATTATTGCTACTATTAATAATTAAATACTAAGTACTGAGCATTTAATTATTAATAGTAATAGTAATGTAGCTTGATCTAATCCAACATTCATTTAGCTTTAATAAAACTATTGGGCTTACAGATGTTTATATTTGTATAAATTTTTAAATATTCAACTCTATTCTATATTATATCAAACAAATAAAACAAAAAGAAAAATATTTTATCTACTAAAACCTTTCAACTTGAGATTCTCTAAATTAAATTCAAACTAATTTTACTATGGAATACTTAGCTAAATTTCCACATTGATTCTTGAATAGTTTTAAATTTAAATTTAGGAATCATTGAGATATTGTGAAACAGTCATACATATATTATATATGTACTTAATAAATCCACATATAAAATATGAAATAAATTATAAATGTTATACTTTTTATAGTTTTGTATTTTATAAAAATAAAGGAAATATATTTACTATTGCAAATAGGTGGTAAAAATTAATAATCAGAAAATAAAATTCATACTTAATAATATATCATCTTAAGTAATAAAAACTTTATAATTATTATTGTTTAAAAGTTTTTTTTTTCTTAACATTCTGTCTAAATTTTTGAATTAGCATACTCTCATTTATTAATAATGTCAACAATAATTTATTTATTTTATAGATAGAAGAAATTAATAATATATTATAATATTGGTAATTATTTAAGTTGATTGTAAGCATACGTTATGTAGAATTGTCAAATCAATGATAATTACTATAATTTAGAAAACAAGTTTCTAAATATGTGTTTAAATACTTATAAAATAGTTTAACTTACTTGTAATTGTTCATTTGATTCCCGTTTAATAGAATCCATCAAGGGACGAATAACTGGATTAAGTTTTTCAGGAAGATATTGCATTGTGATTAATGATCCAGCCAAACTAGCTTGTACACTGTAAATTTGGAAAAATAAATAGGTTTAACTTAGTATAAAATTAAATATTGTGTAATCTAAAATAATTTTTTTTTGTAGATAAAGTAAAATTTATACATAATATATATGAATTTTTCTTTATTTATAATCATCATTTAATTCAAGATTTAAACATATATTTATTTGTTTCATGTCTGGTGTAAATAACAAGCATGATATTTTTTTATTTTATTCAATTATGCTTTTAAAAATAACAAACAAACAAAAAATAAAAAAATATAAAAAATTTAAGTCACTGAGTCAATAATCAGTCAAAGTATAGAAGCTAAAATGTTTAACAACATTAAAAATTTTGAGAAATCTATCATTAATTTTTATACACTAAACACTCAGGTACCCTATAATCTGAAATATGTCTGGTAATTCAAAACCCTCTAAAAAGTAGCCTATAATGTGAAATCATTGAATAATAATCTGGCCTCCTTAATATTCTACAGATCATAATTTGTTTGGGAATATGATGCACTAAAGACCTCAAATTGAAATTAAGGTAAAAACAAGAGGTATATTCATGCCTTACTATTTTTCTTTTAATTCTATTTATTTCTTATACAAATTTTAAGCAAAACTATTGAATAAAATTCTTTATATCATAAAGATATGAATGGTTTTTGAATGCATAAGCAAGGTAATATTATATCAAAATTTTTAAAACAAATATAATTTGCTTCTGAAGAAGAAAAAACAATGATAATCTGTGTAACTGTGTAAACCTTATCATATTTGTGAAAAATTTCCTTATTAATATATATAGAACCAAATAAATGGCATGCTCATTTATGTTATGTTATTATTTTTCATTACACTGCTCAAAATATGAAAATAAACTAATCAAACCATTAAAGCATCAATTATTTCAGGTTGTATTTTGGCTTGTTAATTAATAAGTGATCCATATAGTTATGTCACTCAGATTAATAGATCTGGAAGCAAAGATCAGACAGAGGTCCAAGTAATTTAACTGGTAAAATCTGCATGATAAACATAAGTTGCAGATTCAAGTTCTGCTCTGGACCAATCTTTTTTCCAAAATATTCTAAAAATTAAATTTAGAACTAAATTTAATAATTAGTATTAGTGCAAGATGATGACATAATTATCTATCTTTAGACAAAATTACTTGATACCATTAATGATTACATAGAAATAGAGCATGAGATAATCTGGCACTTCAATGATTTGATTACTAGTATATTCAAATTTAGTTGTTTATATACAAAAATAAATTAATGTAAAAGAATAATAACTACTTTAATCATCATATCGATGATTTTTGTAGTCATACTAAAAATACTTTGCAAAGAAGAATTTTAAATGAATTTGAATGACAGAAAACCTAAATGATATGTTTGAATGAATGACAATAGAAAAAATATCTATTTAACTGTTCTAATTATTATATATTTAATCAATTTGTCAATGACTAATCTAATTATCCTCTATTTTTATTTTACTAGTTTAATAGTATTTATTTTTAGGATTTTGAAATAAACTGATAATTCTGAATGTTTACTTGTTTTTATTCAATATATTAATTTTTCTAATTAATGTTTTTATTATATGGTTATTGACATATGATACTGATAATTTTAAAAAATATCATTAACTATTTTGATATATCTTATATAATAAAAAATTAAATGTGTAATAGATTCAGAGCTTAAACAAATTGGATGCAAAATGAGACATAAATAAAAGATGTGTTAATGAGTCAAATATCAAAATTTTCTCTTCAAGATTATCTTCATACAAGAGGCTATTGCACATAATTCATAGAATAAGCATAGAAGTGCAGAATATGAAAATTCTGAGAAGTTATCAGACAACATGGAATCAGATCAAAAAATATAATAAATTTGAGTGACAGTTCAAATATTACAATACGAGACAATTTACTGTTTATTCTTATGGATCTCTAATCATAAGTGTAACTCAAGTCATAAGTTCCATATTTAACAGAAATTTATAAAAAGAATCTAATCAATAAATAAATTTTTAAATACAGCCAAATGATTGCCAGATTACATCAGGCTATATTATTGCTACTATTAATAATTAAATACTAAGTACTGAGCATTTAATTATTAATAGTAATAGTAATGTAGCTTGATCTAATCCAACATTCATTTAGCTTTAATAAAACTATTGGGCTTACAGATGTTTATATTTGTATAAATTTTTAAATATTCAACTCTATTCTATATTATATCAAACAAATAAAACAAAAAGAAAAATATTTTATCTACTAAAACCTTTCAACTTGAGATTCTCTAAATTAAATTCAAACTAATTTTACTATGGAATACTTAGCTAAATTTCCACATTGATTCTTGAATAGTTTTAAATTTAAATTTAGGAATCATTGAGATATTGTGAAACAGTCATACATATATTATATATGTACTTAATAAATCCACATATAAAATATGAAATAAATTATAAATGTTATACTTTTTATAGTTTTGTATTTTATAAAAATAAAGGAAATATATTTACTATTGCAAATAGGTGGTAAAAATTAATAATCAGAAAATAAAATTCATACTTAATAATATATCATCTTAAGTAATAAAAACTTTATAATTATTATTGTTTAAAAGTTTTTTTTTTCTTAACATTCTGTCTAAATTTTTGAATTAGCATACTCTCATTTATTAATAATGTCAACAATAATTTATTTATTTTATAGATAGAAGAAATTAATAATATATTATAATATTGGTAATTATTTAAGTTGATTGTAAGCATACGTTATGTAGAATTGTCAAATCAATGATAATTACTATAATTTAGAAAACAAGTTTCTAAATATGTGTTTAAATACTTATAAAATAGTTTAACTTACTTGTAATTGTTCATTTGATTCCCGTTTAATAGAATCCATCAAGGGACGAATAACTGGATTAAGTTTTTCAGGAAGATATTGCATTGTGATTAATGATCCAGCCAAACTAGCTTGTACACTGTAAATTTGGAAAAATAAATAGGTTTAACTTAGTATAAAATTAAATATTGTGTAATCTAAAATAATTTTTTTTTGTAGATAAAGTAAAATTTATACATAATATATATGAATTTTTCTTTATTTATAATCATCATTTAATTCAAGATTTAAACATATATTTATTTGTTTCATGTCTGGTGTAAATAACAAGCATGATATTTTTTTATTTTATTCAATTATGCTTTTAAAAATAACAAACAAACAAAAAATAAAAAAATATAAAAAATTTAAGTCACTGAGTCAATAATCAGTCAAAGTATAGAAGCTAAAATGTTTAACAACATTAAAAATTTTGAGAAATCTATCATTAATTTTTATACACTAAACACTCAGGTACCCTATAATCTGAAATATGTCTGGTAATTCAAAACCCTCTAAAAAGTAGCCTATAATGTGAAATCATTGAATAATAATCTGGCCTCCTTAATATTCTACAGATCATAATTTGTTTGGGAATATGATGCACTAAAGACCTCAAATTGAAATTAAGGTAAAAACAAGAGGTATATTCATGCATGTTGCTACATGTTGGGAGGTCAACTGTGGGATCATGAGCAATGTGATAAAAAAAAAAAAAATGATTTATTTTGTTACAGTACCTTGTTTATGTCAATAGCACCTCAAACTCCTATGTAGTGTAATTCTGTTAAGTATACATAATCGTCATTGCACTGTACTGAACAAACATTGCTTTATTTCAGCAAACACACATTTTGTGTTCAGTGACATGAATGACTGATATATTTCTTTCTCACAAACCAATGCAAGAATAGTGCACCTAAAAATAAATTTTTTATACCAGAACTGCGTTGCTTTTGTGAATCATATGTAGAGAGTATATGCCTGAAAAAAAATTATTTTTTGCACATGAATTATTGTGAATATTGATTTTGTGCAATAACATATTCATTAATGTTCTTGCAAGTTTGTCAATTACTCTTAACATAGCATAGTCATTCACTGTGTCATCTTCATGGTGTAAGGAACCAAGTCTGAGCTTTATTTTTATTTTACTTTTATTTTGCTTTCATTATATTTTGTTTGGGGCTTATGTTTAGTTAAGACGAAGGTTTCCTCACCATTCACCTTAGTAACTTAAAAATAGAAGAAAAACCAACTCACCGACGAAAGAAAAGCGCCGTAGAAAAACTCGCGCACACTTGCGCTTCCCAAGCGGAAAAAAGTAAGTCCGCACCGAGAAAAAGGGGGGGAAGACCCCACAACCCAGTTAGGAATCGCTAAACCTTAAAAGAATAAAGCATCCCGATAATTGTTAAAAAGAATAATGTAAAAGGTTAGCGAAGTATTGTCGGAAAATAATCTGCCAGATAAACAAGAAAAATTTAATGTTACAGATAAGTATGTAAATGAGGAGAGTGAGCTCATTCAGAATTGTGACGTCACCTCACACTATAAAGCCTCTAACTCAAGTGAAAACGAACGAGGTGAATTCCTGATAGCAACGAGCTTTGGTGAGCTTCGTAGCAGTGAACGAGAGAGGTGTCCGATAGGATTTTGAAGTTATTCGATTTGTGGATCGACGATTATAGAAAGTCTTGAGAGTTTGAGGAAATAGGTTCCTAGTATATTGAGGTGACGATTAGGATCTTTAATTTATAAGAATTATTGTTTATAAGTTAATTCTTTGATTTTGTCGAATTCCAAAGGGGAATAGAATTAAGTTAGAAATAGATTGATTTGAGTTTGTCGGATTGATTCTTGTTGAATTTCATTGAATAAATTATTGTTTGATTTTTACTAAATACTGTATAGAGTTTATTAATAGAAGTTTAATTAAATATTTGATTTTGTTATTGACAAACTTTGTCATTATTTAATTCGGTGCACGCTTAAAGTCCAGGCCTGGCACACTAACGCGAATCCGCGTAAAGTACCCGTTAGGGAACGGCTATTTCCGGCACACAGTAGTGTCGATAATCGTTGGAAAGTCGGAAAAATAATATAGTACTTTACAATACTGATTAAAGTGCATGCATAAACAAATTGAAAGCATACAATATGTGCTAGTACAAAATGTACAATGCCTAAAGATGCTCCAATCATATATAACTTATCAAATTACAAAAACATCTGATGATTCAGCATTTTCAATAATCCAGCACCATTCTAAATCTAGTTGCCAGATTAGCACACTTTATTATATTATATAATATAGTAAAAGAACATATACATTACAGTGAATTCTTTAACTTTTATCCAAATTCCAAAACAGTTACAACTAAAAAACTGTTTGTTATATACTATTCTAATAACAGGTGCTAATTTCTGAAAAAAACATTCTTTACATAAACATTTTCACTTTCATAAGTTGAGTGATCATTGCCTCAATGAGCTGATTAAGATATGAAACTGACTAAAAATGCTTATAAATTTATCAGTCATCTTGATAAGGTCTTTGGCAAAGCTGTTTTGAAAGATTTGCAATATAATTTTTCTTGTCATTAACTATAAAATATTTAATTAATAGACTTCTAAAAATTTTTAAATAAGTGAATAATAAAAATCAAAATATACTATTATCTTAACACTTCTGCTGCCAATTTGACACAATTTTGTGTCATTCACACACTAGAAAGTTTTCGTAAATTCTCATGTGTAATTTTTTGGATGTCATTTATTACTGTAAATATAAAAACATTTTAGTAATTATATATTATTGCTTGGTTTCTTACTTTCCCAGGACATACCATATTTTTGCAGAATGCTGATCTATCCAGGGAAGACCAGGAAATCAAATATTTCCATATGGTAAAAATCAGCATGCCAGTTTAAGTGAGATTATACATCCCTGTCATGAGTGAACATTAAAAAACGAGAGTTATGTCAGGTAAATACAAACACGTTTTTATTTTAAAACTGTGAAACTGTCAACATTACATCAAAAATTGCATTTGTACATTTAATTTTTTCATTTTGTTCCTTCTAATGACAAATTACTAGTGGAATTCCAAAATTGCTTTTTTATGTTTTTTATGGTAATTCAATTCAAAAATGCAAAAATAAATATATTAAATTTATGAAACTTGCCCTAAATTATCTCAACTTACTTGGATTAACATCCGCTTTGTGTGAAATTTGAGAAGAAGGTGTTATTTTTAAGATCCAGTGGATGGTTAGTGTAACCCTCACTAACAACAACAAGTCACTAATTGTTTTATTGTCTTGTAAACAAAAACTCTTCCTGATTTTAAGTCAGTCAAATTACAATGATATTAGAGGGGTTGTGGCCGACATTTTTATCGTGAAAACGTGTATATCAGACGTTCGATGCCGTCTTCCTGTAAGCCTAGAAGTTTGAAAATGATGTTTGGAACGTCGAGCATAATTCCACTGACATTCCAAACACCACCGTCAAACTTCTAGGCTTACAGGAAGGCGGCGCCGAACGTCCGACGTACACGTTTTCGTGATGAAAATGTCGACTGCAACCTCTCTATTATATTGCATTTGAAATAATTTTTTAAACATTAGTTTAACAACTAGTTTTGTTACATCTGATTAATTTTATTTTTTAGTTGCAATGTAACCAGCACACCAGTAACCCTGTTTAAATGTGACATGCCAGTCATTCCATAACAATATAGTATTTAATTATAATGGTTTTTCACCATTTATATCCTCAGAAGATGACTCAAGTTTGCATCATCACATAATTCCATAAAGATTGCTAGAAATGAAATAAATTTTTTATTCTTAATTTGAATATAACAATAACAGTTTATAAAAATCAGCATATTTGGTGCAACTTTTTCAATGGTGACAGCAAAAGTATTAAAGAAAATGAAAGAAATCTAAAGTCTGATCATATTAACATAGATACAGTGTTATTCTATTTTAATAATTGGTTCTAAAATAAAATATTATTATTTTATACGATATGAAACTTCTTTTACTTGAATATAACTACAGTTTAAACTTTTCTTTGCATTACTTTAACTTCATGTATAAATAAGAAATTATCTTACGTAGTACTTAAAGATGTTTGATCATAACTAGTTTGTGCAATGGATTTCTGCAGAACTTTTCTTTTTTCTTCTAAAAGCTATTAAAAAGATTATTTCAATATTCATTAACTTCATAATAATATTAAAATTTTTTAAATAAAAAATTATTATTAATTCTAATATTAATTACAAATAAAAAACTTCTAATATCTGTTTCAACCAGTATTTTTATACTTTGGAAAAATTTTTTAAAAATAAAGTACATTGTTATAAAAATATATTTATGACTAATTTCTATTTCATATAAAAGTGAACTAATTGTCATTTTCATAAAAACTAGATTAAAATTATCTAAACTAATCATTCTTTACAAAATCCACTTTATTTATTAATTTTATTTATAAACAAATATTTTTCTTAGCCAATTAACTTTTTTGTTTTTACTTTAAAAAAAATTCACTGGCCTGGCTTACCCAATAAAAAGAGTAACTGATTATTAATATTTAATCATTAAAATATATAATAAAATTTTATTGAGTTTTTATGAAAGCAAGACGTTTTTCATTTTAAAACGTACGTACATCTATAACTTTTGGCTTGAGCTTTGACTGGGATATTGCAGATTGATATGCTGTTGTAGTTAATAAAGAAGCTTGTTCTATAGTTAAGACATTTCTGAAAGAAATGATAAAAATTAAAAAAAATAAATTTCCTAAAAAAATGCATTTATTCTGCAGTATTAACTTGTACACATTCAAAACAAATGAATCAGGAAATATTTCTAAAAAATTTATAAGATATTCTCTCTATTAAAATTCTTGATTATTCACATTTAAACCAATTTCTTCTAATATAAATTATTGTTTGTTTTATAATACTACTACTATCAATATAGAAATCTCACTATAACAAATTAATTGTTTGATGCTTCAATAGAATCATAAATAAGGGCCTATAATGAATTAAAAAATGAATTATTAATAACAGATGTATTTATGCTATTTTCAGCTATTGAGATAAGATTTTGAGCATTACACGTTTAGACATTTTGAGCTAAAATTTTAAATTAAATTTTTCTATTTGCATATTGTCTCTATATTGAATGATTTCAAGACAATCCATGAACTCTTCTAGTGTGCAATTTTTCTAAAATCTTTTATTTTTATGCTAAATCATCTTTCTTTCTACTCTTCTGTCTTTAGTACTACAGTAGAGCCTCGATTATCTGACCCAATTGGGGACTGGGGTTGGTCGGATAATTGAAAGGGCGGATAACCGAAAAGTATGAAAAAATCTATTATTAGTGTAGTATATTATTATATCCCATGTAATTAGTATANAATTTGTAATAAAATAAAATATATATAAATATTATTTTATTTTATCTTATCTTAATTTAAACTGTTGTTCATTTCTATAGCATTTCGATTAATATTCCAAATGAAAGGGCTTAGAAAAGCCAAAAATGTTTTTTCATATAATAAAACATTTGACATGAAAAAAAATGGGTTGCTATTTTTTAAAATACTATTTACTAACTGTTACCCGCAACTTTGCCTGCACAGATTTTGCAAGCAAACCCCATTTATGTTCAGTATTTCAACAATCATAGTAATTGTTATATAACACTTACCACTGAGAATGATGAGAATTGCTGAGAATCAAACAAACTATTTTCAATTTGATCAATTTTCTGGAATGTTTACAATCATTCTATAATCGAACCAATATACAATAACAAATTCGAATTTAAAATGGTTCAAACATTCGGTTAAAAAATTGGAATATATAAAAATATTTATAACAATGTATGAAAAGTTATCAATTAAATACACCTAAGTNATCATCGCTATTGTATCGTTAAAAATTAGAAAGTTAAGCTTCGTTTAAATACTGGCTCCCTTTCATGGTCGAATGAGTGTTGCCAGCTAAAACACGTAAAAATAATATTAAAGTAGCCAAGACATAGCCAAATATTGTAGCGCCACATCAATAGTGGACATTTGAAATTTGCCGACTAGGACGGTCAGTTAACCGAGGGGTTGGTTGATAGGGGGTCGGATAATCGAGGCTCTACTGTATGTATATTATCAACTAAAGTTTTTTTAATGAAATAGATATGTACAAAAAGAAATTTAAATACAAATACAGTAATATACTACATATCTGTAAGTATATTTTTTAATTTTATATTACATGTAATTTCATAAGTTTAGAAGATATGATACCAATTCAATGAGATTTTCTAATTTAATAAAAAAACTTTTTAACTTACTACATAATATTTAAACGTGATTATTCTGAAAAACAGTTATATCAGAGAAAAAATTGAAGTCACAGTTAAACTGAAACCAAAATTAAACTAATTTATTTAAAAACTATAAATATAGTCAAAATCTATATAAATTAATAAAAATAAATCTTTTTTATTTTTATTAATAGTACATTTTAAATAACTAAGTTTAATAATTTGAATATGTCAAAATTCTTAATTCATAACAACAAAAGCAGTCACTTTGACAGAATTATTGGATGCAAATTGTATTCACAAAATTCTTATTAATTCTATATACTGTATATATGTTACTGTGAAAGACCAAAATTAGAGAATGTTGATATTCTCCGGTGAATGTTGACACATACAAAATACCTCGGTGAAAGACTGAATATTTGGTTATATTATTATACATTCGAACAATCACTGGTGTATGTCGACAAGCACAGATAAGCTTTGGTGGAGATCGAAACAACACCCGAAAAGCTGATGTCAACAGAGAGGCGACAGTCTGTCGCCAAATCCTTTGTGGGTAGCCAGAGGTAGGACAAGGTCGTACCTCTTTTCCCGGCAATGGTTTGGTGGAAACCGCCCACTTTGTCACTGGATGGCATTTTTGTTCTTTTGATCCCGTGAGGTGGGGATCAGTTTGTCAGGTCAAGTGGCAGAGGATGAGAGGGGTCGTTGGTAAGGCATCGGCGATATCTGAATAAAAGACACCATTAACAGATCAGTTCGTAATCACATAATAACGTAATCAGTTCGTAATTTGTAAAGTTACTTTCCATAGATGAGATTTCTTCTAAAGAAATATTGCTGAGAGAAGCAGCTGCAGCTAATTCAAAAAGTGGAGGGCAAGGCTATACATGCTGTCATTGAAAAAAGAAGTGTTCTACGAATAAATGCAGTTATAAAAGCAAGGGAGTCTTGTGCAATTCAAAGTGCCATAACATTTTAACTTGTTGCAATAAGTAAGATTATATAATGTTAATCACATAATTTACGTGTAAGTTTATTATTGTATTATTTTCTTTAATGATTAAGAATATACTGTTCATTTTAGGTTCAATAGTTTATTTACATGCACTGTTACTTAAGCTTTCTCCTATTTTGATATATTAGAAAGTTGCATTTTTGTCTTAACATAATAAAAATATTTTTATTCAACATTCACAATCTGAACATGCTGAATGTCGACATTTGCCAGTGTAAGTGAGAAATAATGATATTTAGCAAATATTTCGTACATACATGAAACAACTGTGTGAATGCTGACATTCACCGGAGAATCTCGACATTCGCCAGATATCAGTCATTCACAGTAACATATATATAAAATATTATATTACATTAAAGTATTAAATGTAAACTTACCCTAGTTGAAGTGAAGAATCTAAAGATAATTTGTGATGATTTAAGAGTGAAATAAATGCTCTGCATTCTTGCTGAAGTCGAGCAAATGCAAGAGCTATTTCATCAAAATAAATATTTTCATTTAAACACTCTAAGCATCTTTTTTTCACAGACAATGGACATTTATTATCCTGTTCAAATAAATATACACTAAATTAGTTTTAATTGTAAACAAATAGATTGCAAACACCTCCAAATTGCATACATTACAATTAGAAAATTTTACGAGAAATTTAAATAGTTAATACTGTATTTACTCAAATAATCTGTGCACTTTTACAAAAAATTGTGAAAAAATGTTGGAGTACACAGTTTATTCGAAACAAATTTGGTGATGCAACAAACAAAGCCCAGGGAACTTCCAGTTACTAGAGACAAGTTACTAGAAACAAGCAGCTAAGTATGCAAACTCCAGTTACTACACCTTTTGCTTACTTTGCTAGCAATAAATATAGTGAATATTTACAAGTAATTCTATTGTTTCTGTGTGACTAATTTTGTGAAAATGATGACAAATAAAGTAAGTTAAATATATGACTGAGACTGACAGTAATTAAACTCTTAGTTTCAGCTATTGGTCTTTAGCAGTTTTCTGCTTTGGTTCAAATCAAACATTGTAAGGAAGGTTTACATTCATTTAATTAGTAAGTTAATTCATTATAAAATACATTACTGCAGGATGCAGATAATTTATCTTTATCTGATATACAAACATCTTAAAAATATTGGAAAAAAAATAATATCTTTTAATACCATGTCAACTTGTTAACTGAGCACTGCCATATTGAATGCTACACAACAGCCAGAGTAAAGATTACTGCTGTGTTTCAACCATATATTGGTAAAATTACTTAAATACTTAATAAATTAAATTGATCAAGTTTTTTTTTTTTTTAATCCAGTAGCTTAAAAATGAGACGCATAGATTATTGGTGCAAATTATTCAAGTAGATACAGTACTTTATAGATATAAAAATAAAACATCAATATAGAGCATAATTATGTATGAGTTAAACCAAGATTTAGAATAATTTCAATTATGTCTCCAATGTTTTCATAATCATAACATATTAAATCTATCATGAAGATCTTTAACTATCAAGCAAAAATTATTTGGCCAGTCTTGCATAGTATAATTTTTCAGTTTCCTGAATTCTAAGGCAGCATTCATTTTACTTCTTTTTTCTTTTTTAAAAAAAGTAAATTTTACAAAGATTTTCATTGTCTTTGTTACTTATGTTTACTTAAAATATAAATCACATCTATTTAAATATTTTATTACATAATTAGTCCACTCTCAATTTAACAGGGACAAATTTACTGTAATTAATGATAGCAGAAACACACATCCAAAATAATCATTGTATTATTTTTGATAGTGCATGTCTAGCTGTTAAATTTAGTAAAATGTTGATCTTTTTATGTTAATGTACTGTACTTTTTATAATTTTCATAGTTAGGTAACATAATATATGTATGATTAATTACTGTAATTGTAATTTTTATTTAAAATGCTGTTGTGTAGTTTTTAAATGAGTAGTCTCCATGATTGATAATGAGATAAATTGTTCATATTGTATTGTGCATTTTCTTTTATGACATATTAAATCATAGGGTAGAGTAGAGTGCTTATTATTGTGTGCACAGTTATTTTCAAGTAATTTTTGGATTTACTGTGGAATTCAAAATACCATGGAACCCTCTCTGAACCCTCCATTACTCTGCTAAATCTGGAGTTGAATGTATTTGTGACAATTAAATTGCACCATAATTTTTGGAGTATAAGCCACAGGGGGTAAAAAAGGCCGTTGTTATAAACTAATTGACAGATAAGTCACACCTTTATATTAGCCATTGCAACTTTCAGTTGCTAGTAAATATGCAAGATAAAAACAATGGTTACAATTATCATTTTAAAAAATTACTCACAACAAATAAAATTCACTGACAATTTTAATTTCAAAGTTTGTTACCATTGGGCTGTTAAACTAATTAACTTTGTAAATTTTGATAATTTCCAATATCAGTAATATCAAATGTCAGTAACAATATTAACTAGCGTTCATTTTTCGAACTTCAAGATTGGAAAATATTATATCAATAGTTGATTATTCAATAATATCAAACCAACTATTCATATGATGCTGCTATCTGCAGAGTAGCAGCATTTGTAAATGATGTTAAATTTCCACACATAAGCTGCACTTTTGTATAAGATACAATCTCCATTTTTTCCAAGTAAAAACAATACATAAGCCATGGTTTATACTCCAAAGTTACAGTATTTGTTAATTGCATATTTATTTAAATGTTTATAAGATGATAATCTTGAAGGCATATCTTAAAAAGTAATTTCCAAAAAATGCACATTATTCTTATTATAATGTCAAAGGAAAATTAGACAAATTAAATAAATAATGGATTATTCAAACTTAGTTAAGTTTATTACAGCATTTAATTCATTTATATAGTTCCAGATTATATTTAGATCCCAAAATTGCAAAATTCTTGAAACTATATTGTAAAATTAAAAATTCGTATCTTTTTTTCATGTAACCAAATGTTTAATTATAAATAAAAGATTTTTAAGTCTTTTTAGGCCAGCATCAGTTCCATTTCAAGAATTTCTATAACTAAAGCTGCCATAAAAAGGCCAAAAATTGTTTTTACATGTAATACTGCATTGAATGCCTACACCAATTTTGTCCTCTGGCAGAGGATAAACAAAATGTGTCAAGATACTCTTGATAAATTTCTGCAAAAATAATTGCTATTTTTATTGTTTAATGGTTGTATTTTCATATATTATTTTTGAACTTGAATTTGTTTACATATATGTATTCACATTAAATATTAATTATATTTTAATAAATTATTTTTGTCTTTATTGCTCTTTTTTTTTAATCTTAGATTTTGTCTGTATCCTTAGAACTCACTTTACTGGGACAGCCACTTAATCTGGACAAATTATTCAAATCGCAATGTGTCACAATTAAGCAAAATCAACTGTGTACAGTATTTTTAATTATATATCAATTTAGATTTAAACAACAGAATAATACTTTCAACACTGCTCAAGTTACAGTAGAGCCTCGATTATCTGACCTTCGATTAACCAACACCTCGGTTAACTGACCGTCCTAGTTGGCAAATTTCAAATGTCCACTAGTGATGTGGCGCTACAATATTTGGCTATGTCTTGGCTATTTTAATATTATTTTTACGTGTTTTAGCTGGCAACACTCATTCGACCATGAAAGGGAGCCAGTATTTAAACAAGGCTTAATTTTCTAATTCTTAACGATACAATAGCGACGATTATTATTTTAAAAAATTTTTGTTAGGCTTAACATCGATGAAAATTCAACACAAAGTATGTTAATAGTGATATACTAATATACTAATTACATGGGATATAATAATATACTACACTAATAATGGATTTTTTCATACTTTTCGGTTATCCGACTTTTCAATTATCCGACCAACCCCAGTCCCCAATTGAGTCAGATAATAGAGGCTCTACTGTAATTTTTTTAAATTAAAAATTCATTATATAAGATTAAATGTAAGTTTATATATAATACTATTAACTTTTTAAAATAATAGTAAAATTAATTTCATAAACAATCATTAAATGAATTACCTTTTCATGCTTGGCCCAAGCTGTTAAAACTAAGCCAATAGCAATCCTTTGAAGTGCAGATTTTGAATTTAAATGAAAAAGAAGAATTTTAGAAATTCCTTCTATTAAAGATTCTTGTTCTGAATTTTCAGCTGGTTCTGGGATTTGTTTAGTAAGATGATTTAGCAGCAGTCCAAGAAATCTAATTAAAAGTAAGACTAAATGTTATTTTACAAAATTTCTGTATAGGTATATAATGCAGCAATACAAAGACTGAGTTAACTGCATTATATACTAATGAAAATTTGAAATATGCTTAAAGATTTTTGACACTGTTTATAGATATATTGTTAAAACCATATTTGTCTAACAATATTTAATTTGTATAAAATTTATTAACAAACATTTGATAAGAGAATGAAAACATTTTTTAGTCTTATAACAATACTTTTAAAAGCAGACTATTTTTTAATTGATCTCTAATGTAAACTTTGAAATTTCTTAATGATTTTTAAAATCATTGTAATTAAGGCATGTATTTCTAAATATAAATAGATTCATTCTATTCAAAAATTTTGGAACTATAATATTTATTAGTTTTTTGAATTACTGATTTTTAATACAAATTTCTGAAATTACCTTGCAGCCATACAGCGAGCTCTCATAACATATTTTTCCCTAAATAGATGATCATCTGTAAGTGTTTCATTTCCTCCAATATAATAATGGGTTTCAGTACTATCCTTTATAAAATCAGAAGAACTTAATCTTCTTCCTCTTCCTTGGCTCTTTTCCTAATCGTTAAGAATTAAATTTATAAACATTTAAAATTTACTAATTCTTGAAATTAAAAAACAAATAAATTATAAAAAATACTTAAGCATATATAAAAAATTTCATAAATTCTACAATAGGTTATATAACAACTTTACCTCAGCAAGTTTATTTTAACAACACTAACATTTTCAACCTTATTTGAAAGTCTTCTTAAAGTGAACTGGACTGCATTGAATGTTCTAACAGAAGTTCTTTTGTATGTTCTAACAAGAACATACAAAAAAATTTTAAAAATCAATTCACTGTTTAAATTGTGGAACACCCATGCTGATTCAGTAACCAAATTTGTTCTAGTGTCCATGTTTAAAAGGTTTTGTAAATTCCTTTTCAAAATCATTAAAACATCTGATAATACAATTTGCCAGAAAAGATCTTTAAATAAAGTTGAAAACAATAGTGGTGGTAAAATAAACTTGTTGTAGTAAAGATGTATAACTTGTTGTATTTTGAACCCAGTTAGACTAATTTGCATATAAATTCTAATTTTAATATTCATTTTTTCAGTGTTTAATTAAACAAACTTAAATCATCTACAGTTGCAATATACAGGTATCCCTTGCTTAACATGAGATTTGATTAATGCATGAAATTAATTGCAGCAATCCCGTTATATGTGTGTCAGAAGTTTTAATTAGCACAATTTTACCAGCTGTCATTACTAAACATAGATATTGTATTTGATTAACACAATTTTGATATACACGGTAGTATTGAGGAATTATTATAATTAACCACATTAATTAAAGGATACCTGTATTTTATTTCAAGAGAGTATTTTCTATTCCAATGATGGTTGATTTATTACCAAAAGGCATTAGCATATTTATGTCTAGTCACAATATTGCATGTTGTGATTCTTCATAATGGTAATACTTTCATTTACTTTATAAATGAAAGTGATATTTAAATTAAACAAATAGCTTATTTTAGCTAATGTAGACAATTTCAATAATAAAAAGTTTCTTATAAATATGTTTAATTCTAATAACAAATATTCATTTAGACATGCACTATATATTTAAAATTATTTTTATATTTATTATTACTAATACTAATTTCTTTCATATTTTCAAATATAATAATAAAATAATATATTTTAAAAAGATAAATTACTAAATTCTTATTTAATAAATATGGTCTCTCTAGTTGTTGCTAATTATTAGAATGAATATTACAGCAGAGTGAAATGATTGTCAAATTTTTTATTAACAAATTTTAAATACTTATAAATACTACAATTTCATGAGTTATCATTTATCTTAACCATTTATGAGTAAAGATCAGTTTTCTTATTTTTCCTATACAATTTTAAAAAGTTATTTAAAATTAGATAATGATTGTTTATTGTAAATAGATTGCTTCTCCAAAAATTGTTAATTTTATTTTGTTAATATCTAACATTTAATTTAATTATTTAAGTTAATTTATTAACAGTTTTATGAGTGTTTTACATTAAACATAAATATTTGCTAATTTAAATTTTTTTAATGAAATATAACAATTAGTTGGTTTATAGAATAACTTTTATATAACATAGTTTATAGCATATGCTTTTTGGAAAACAACTTTTGAACAGACTATTGAATACATTAAATATTATGTAGTGACTATCTATTATAATCCTGCATCATAGTATATTATTATAGTCACTATTAGAATGTAAAATGCTTGAAATATTTTTAATAAAGTTTCATTATAATTTTTTATAATGTTTTTTTATTCATAAAATATCAAATAACTTTACAGTTGTTTTAATTAAATCTAAGAAAATATTCAATAGTTAAAAATTTAATTATAAATAAATATATTAAAAATTCCTTTACCTTTTGTTTATGTTTAACTTCTAGCCATGAAGTATTAGTGCTGCTATCAATAGCTGTTCTTGATGGATGCATTAAAAAACATAACCAAACATTCAGATAAGGGCAAGCTGCATGTAAAAGAGTTGGAAAGGGAGCACAAGTAATGATCTGGAACCAAACCTATAAGATATATAAGTAAAAACACATACTTAATAAAAATTTGATAAAACAATGGAGATGTGAAATTAAAATAATGCAAATATTTAAAAATAAAATAAAAAAAATCAATAGAACATATTAATTCCAAATTTGAATTTATTTAAAAAATATTTGTTTCTTTAGATTCTAAAATTAAACTTGTTCTCTCATTGAAAACTTATTTAATATACAAATATTAACACACTTATACATTAAATAATGAAGTTCATTTACTTATATCTATAAGCTTATTGCTGTTATTTATTTATTTTGTGGGTAGATATGAAAACAGTATTAAATATACTATGATCTTCTCTTTGTAGACAGAAAAAAAAACCTAACTTTGACAATAAAAGTATCAGTATTAGTATCAGTATTAATGATATCACTATCACTAATATTGATTTATTTATGTAAGATTTATTAAAAAGAAAATTCTTTTGCATATTATATATTAATTAACAATAATACATACAAACAGCAGAGATCTTCAAAAAAATGATGTGAGACAAAAGATCTAACAAAAGTGACTAAAATATGGCTCACTTCTATTTACTTAGCTAAAGAATTATTGAATTTTGGAGAAAATTAACACATTAATAACTTATCTATTCTCCAAGACAGTGCATTAAATTGCTTCTGAATTTCTCGCAAATAACACACAAAGTTTAAATGAAGTTACAAAGTTTAACATCATACAATAAACAGGAAGACATGTAACCCCATTATATCTGAACAGCCAAACAAGAAAGTAATCAAAATGTCACAATATAAAGTAAACTATTTCTTGATCCTTTATACAGTTTCATTAAATTCCAAAGGGAGACTGAGAAATATCAGAATAGACTACTACCAATTTTACACTAGAGTTGTCAATCCAGTATATTATCCGTAAGTTGCCATCTCCTTTTCAAAACATCTTCCTTTCCCATCCTGTTATAAAATCAGAAACTCTCCAAATTGTACATGCTTCCTTTCAAGAAAAAAACCAACTCGTCAAGCATATTCTTTTCAACACTTATATGCCTGTGTGTACAATACAAAAAAACTTTCAAGCTCAACTTACAAGCTCATTTTCATTGTGTTTTAAGAGTAAATCCCATACTGAGACACAGTCTATCAAATGTTTTTCTGTTAAGTCGTGCATGCAGTATCCAAACATCATAGTGACTGATGTAACCAACACACTTCAAATATTCACATATGATACTGTTTGATATTTTCAGGATTTTGGTAATCTGTTAATTACTGTAACATGGGTTGTTATCAATTATCTTTATCTGATCATTATCAATAAGATAGACTATCAGAGCATTCCACATCTTCCTTACAAAAATTACTGTTTTGAAATGAGAAAATCACTTACTGTGCTTGTACCACAGCATCATCTCTATAAACAGCACATTTTTTTTAGTCTTTGCAGTATTTTTACCCTTGTAATGGTAGAAAAACATTAAAAATTCAAAATGCACTTTATTGTCCTCCATATTTTAGCTGTTGTTAAATAAACACAACTTTACCAAATTCTATGTTTTCTTCTTTCAAATAATGCTTAAAAATGACACTTATATATTACACATAAGTACAAAAATAATAAAACATATGAAAATCAATCAAGACTGTTAATAAACCTATTTGTCAAAAACAAAAATATTATGAACCTTCTGAACAACCCAAAAAATGAACCTAATAAGGTAAATTAATAAAGTGAATCTTTAGGAAAATTTTTAGTATTGTTGTTACATTAAGATTTTTAAGTATAAAATAAAGTTTTAAAAATGTACTTTTACCTTATATAAAATATCTGATATATCATCACAATGTTCAATAAGGCAGCGTTGATATATAAGTCGTAATGCATCTGGTAATACCACAGGAAGCCATTCTTGACAAGTCTAAATCAAAATTAATAATATGTAGTTAATAATAAAATCACATGATTTAGTTATATGATTTATTTCACTTTAATTTATCAAATTTAGAACAAAGTTTGAAAAACATTAAAAGTGCATTTAATTTAATACTTACTAAATCTATTGTTTACTACTTAACAAATTAGATATTGTACCAGAAATTCTTGTTAGCTCAAAATACAAGGAATGAATAAATTGTGACTTCAAATTATCAAGTTTCAAATTATCTGAGATTTACATATATCTGTATAATATTCCAAATGCCAAGTAACTGATGTAATTTATTAAGTAAACAAAATATGGCCATGTATACAGAATGCTATTTTCATTAATTAATAATAATAATAATATAAATATAAAGGTAAACAGCATGTGAAAACCTCACAGGTTGCCAGATAGGATTTATAAGAAGTAAAGCAGAATTCCTCAAAATGTAGCCCAAATTATTTTAAAAGTGGCTGAAAAAGTAGCAACTCACCCAAATGTAATCCTATAAATATTTCAATTTACTACTTGTAGCCCAATCTTGCAATCCTGAAACCCAGCCATATTTTATAAGATAAATGAAAAAAAGGGTAATCCATGGATTAAGTGACACCAGAGAATGTGTTACTGTAACAGCAAAGCCATATTGACCAGATTAGAGTTGTTCGTGGTTTATTGTTCTCTTACAGTATGGAGGCACTTCGATCTAAATGGCTGAGTTAACATATGCATATTGCACTTTGGACAAAATTTTCACTTCAAATTTTGAAGTAGCCATATTTCAAACTAACTAAATTCCTTAACATGTTAATATCTATATTCCTGGCTGAGACAAAAGTACAGATACAAACTAACAGTTATGAACTATCCAAGTTAGAATTAATGAGAATTTCCTGTATTGATTATAATCTCTGTTTTATAATGCAATTTTATTAATATTCTAATTTTCAATGTGCAAATATTAGCAATTTACAAACTGAGAAAAGAAAAAAATAAATATCAATAATAAATAATAAAATTTAATATTCATGAATATTCTCACCTGTAAATTTACATCAGCAGTTAATGTCACCAATGCTTGTAATACTGATTTTCGTACACCAGAGGAAGAATGATTAAGAAATGGCCATAATCTGGGTACTAGTTGTGCAAGAGGATGAGTACTGAAATTAATTATAATCCATTTTAAAATTAAGTGAGAATTAACTATTTTAAATATAAGAAAAAGTTCTTATTCTATATCAGGGACAAAATATTCAAAAATTATTGTTGAATATTCACCAAAGAATATCTACAATGAAGGCAAAACAGCACTATTTTCATGCAATTGCTGATCATAAATGTGAAAGTTGCTTTTGAGCAGTTTCACATTTACAATCTTTCAGTGATTTAAATTTTTATATCACTGAAAGAATGTATTACAGTTCTTTACTGTATAATATGCAAAGAACAAAATTATAGATTGAATTAGAAATAAACAATTATAATAATTAAAAAAGGTAAAAATCCCAGATGTTTTAAGGATGTGAAACATTTACCAAGAAATTATTGTTCAAATGTAAATAAAGATGCAATTCAAATATTGACATTTTTAACAACTAGTTAGTTAAATGGGATATAAATTTGAAACTTGTTTTAAAAATAGACATACAGACAGCTGAAATTAAACTTACATCAATTGAAGAAGAAATCACAAAATAACATTCCACAAAGACAATATGTCAAATGAAAAGTTTATGAAATATAATAAATTTTTACTGAAGAAGACTTTCAAAAATAGTCTGACGAAATTTTAAAAAATCAGCTTGAAATAGTATAATTCTTCAAAAAATGCTCAGATACAAGGAGCTCAGAGTATTTTGTTGTGGCAGACAGTAAAAGATGTATTGAGTTTCAAAAATATTATAAATATGAGCTTTTTAATAATGAAATACAGCAGAAAATAGCCAGGGGAGTAATGTTGAATGAACTACAAATTATTAATAAAGTTTAAATTAATAAGTTTAAAAATAAATTAACTGTTAACGTCTCTTAATTGTTTTAGCATATTTTTAAATTATCTGTTTCAATAAAACTAAAATTTCCCCTAATGACAGTCAAACTACTTTCACTGCATAATGATATCAATCATTGTTATCAGTGTAGTCTAGTCTCAAAGTGATTACAATAAATAGTGCGTATTTTAACAAATTATAATTATAGGCAAAAAAATCTGGCTTGTGAGTTCTAGATATTTGGTTATAGAAACTGAAGCTAATCTAGTTTCAGTTTTGTTTGTTTATATTCACATAATTTCCATATAATATCACCTGTATAAATAATGCAAATATTCAACATTTGCATTATGTTTGCTAATAAAGAATTCAGATAACACAAATCTTATAAATATATAAATAAATAAATATAATTACTAAAGTTATAAATAAAACTTATTTAAAGAAAAAAGTACTTAAAATTTCTGTTCAAACATCATATATCATATTTTCATCAATACATAAATGTGCTGTATAAAACATATAGGAAAATATAATAAATCTTGATTTAAATTGTAAATTTTTATACATACATAGTTAACAATACATAAATTTTAAATTACTTACACAGAAACAGTTGATGAACATGGATAAGAGAGTAAAGAGGATAAAAGTAATAAAATGCTACTGGTAGAAGCAGTTAGATCATCCAAATCTAACAGAGCATCCCATAAAGAAGATATCACATATGGAACCTATAACAACAAATAATTTATTAAAATTTAAATAATAATTAAAATAATTGACAATACTATATTCTTATCAATAAGCAAAACCTGTCAGAGCAATAGCTGCTTATGTGTTAGAACAGTCAGCTGAAGTAAATAAGAAGGCGGCTAAGTTCATCAGACTAACACACAATGTTAGTCTCCTGAGACCTTAGAAAAATTAGAAATTTATAACTCAACTCATAAGGTAAACCCATATACTATAAAGATATGGAACAGTCTCATTTTCTTGGAGATCATGTTATGAAATAGTATGAACATATATGGAAATAAACTGAATTTTTATTCTACTTAAACTTTATAAATTTATTATCTCTCTCTTTTTGGCTGCATTAATTTTTTATAAGTTCATATCATGAAGAATTTTAAAACATCATTAACATGATTATAAATACATTATGACACTCTCCACAAATATTTGTTGTATACCATTCTAAAGTCTGACTATTGCTTGAGATAAGTTTCTTCCTTTCAGTTAAGAATTTTGTTATTTTCTTTTTGTAACCTGAAGATTGGCATTAAATTTATGGCTGAAAATATTTGCTGTAAATAAAATTAATTATTGCGGGAATTAAAGATTTAATGTGTAATTATAATACAGTAGAGCCTCGAAAATTCGGCCTAATGTGGACCGAAAAGTGGCCGAGTTTGTGAAAATGCTGGGTTATCGGGAATGGGGTTAAAAAAAATAAGTATGAGTGTTTCCTCAGAAAATGCTGTACTGTACTTGTATGTATTGTTTACTTGAGAATACAACAGAGAATAAACTGCCCAAATACCCTTAAACAAAGGAAAAGTACGTCTTTTATGAAGGCATAGAGTCTTTACTACATGAAAATGAAAATTAATGAATACACTGTGTACAGTAATTTACTTGATAAGACAGACTTCAGAAAAATACTCTATGAGGCATAAAGCTGTCTATGATGAAAATTAATTATTTAAGGGTATTTTTGCCTTGCCTGGGTGTGGCCGAGTTATCCGGAGTGCCAGGTTATCGAGTGTCGAGTTTTCGAGGCTCTACTGTAATACTATTATATTCTTACATTAAATTATTAAAGAGTAGAATACAAAACAATATTCCATAAATTGAAAATTATAGCATTTCAAGTATATGCAAAATAATTTTCCTTTATTCTAAGATGCACTTTTTTACCATTTTCACTTAAATGAAATAAAGTGCATCTTACATTCACAATGAAAATCAAGAATCAGAAATCATTATGACTAGACCACATGATTTGTTATGCATCAATACTAAATGTTTTTTGTTGGTAACATGCATTTAATTTATGCTCATCTATACCATTATAAAGAGGTAATGTTTGTAAGTTTGTTTGCAGCAGGTAATCTCCGAAACTACTCATCTGATTTCAAAAATTCTTTCACCAATATTTAGAATGGAACCTCAGGGTGGACATAGGCTGTATATTATTCCATTAAACATTCATATAAATTAAAATATATAATCTAGGTTAAGGCTTTTATGTCCAACAGATGGCGCTACAAGTATGACGCCCTAAGTTTGCTTTTCTGTGAAAAAGAACTAAAGCAGATCATCTTCTATCTATCTATATAAATAAAAATGTAATGTTCGTTTGTTCCTACAGATTCCTTTGAAATTTTGACACTATGTTGCATTCGAATATGCACGTGTTTTTATATAATATACATGTCGAAATCCCCTCCGGAAGATGGACAGGATTAAGGCTTACCGTGAAGAACTTGGCTTCTATTATACTATTTTAGATGCAGTTTTTTGCATTTTTGATTGTGTTTTAATAGGGTACGTCAAGAAAATGTACACTAAGGGATTTTTCGAAAAATCCCCCCCACAGGGGAAGTGTTATACATTTATAATAGATACATTTTGAGCCACAACAACGCGTGGCGGGGTCTGCTAGTTGTTATACATTGTTCATGTCATGAACTTGTACATAGTTTATTCACCAGTTCTTTGTTTTGTCTTTTTTACACTTTGATCATATTATGCATTTCAGAAACAAGAACAACTTTCCCCTTCTTCACTTACATTTTTTTCAAAATGCCAACTATTACAGCACATAAAACTGTATCTACATTAAACTGACTAATAAAAATAAACTGAAGGAAGAAAAGAAAAACAAGAAAACATCTGGAAGAAAACAACTGGCCCAGGGTGGATTCTAAATTATTTAATAAATTATTAAAATTATAATTATTAATTTAGTTAAGAGACAGTATCTAATGTCTACCTCTACTGGCAAATTACTTAGTATTAATCATTAAATTAGCAGAGTTATAGCCCGATTATTTAAGGCAATTATTTGGTTATGTTTCTAAATTCTAGACTATTTAAAATACATAAAATATCTATTCATCAGATGTAAATTATTTTTAAAAAATGATGATAAAGGAAATTATTAATCAGGGAATTTACACTAAAATTTTTGGAAACAGACAAGCTAATCTGTCTTAACAGTTGTCATTATAAATATTTCAAAATTCATAACAACATTGAAAGCATACAACTTTTACATCATTTCTTGACACATCTGATAACAATTTAATAATACACAGATCCACGAGAATTGATTTTCATAAATTAAAAACAAAATGCCTTTGAAATAAACATTACGTCTTTAAAAGATATATCCCATATCTTTTTAATATTTTTCAATATATATTACACATACTTGATTTTTTATTATATTAAAGAAAAAAAATAGAAGACAGAATTAAGAATACATTTATGAACTTTTTACCTTGTCAATCAATGTTTTTACAATTATATTTGTTACAGGAACTAAAGCTGCAGCTGCAACTGCACTAACATCATCAACAGGATCTTTCAGTCCTTGACAAACCAAATCAAAAACAGCTGGAACTAATTGTAATGTCATATCCTATAATATAATACAATTATTATAGATATATATTATAAAATTATTAACATAGATGTTACAAAAATTAAATAAAACAACAACATATATAATAACATAAAACATATCTCATTTTCTTAAATAAGATAAATACATTTATTCTAAAAAATATACAAAAAAAAAAAAAATTTGTAAATGAACTCAAAATTCAAAAATTCAGCTTATAATTACAATTAACATCATTTTTGAAAATATATAAGAAAATATATATTAAAATATCAATAATCTTAAAACTTTTATAAATTTTACAGTAAAAAAGTTGTATTTGTCAAAGTTACTAAAACATTTTTGATAGTATAGCAAGTTAAAAAATTTCTATAAGAAATGTTAGTGCATTTTCCATAAAAATTTCATAAAAAGGATTTAAATATTAGTGCAAACAGTAATTAAAAATTTTATTTTAATAGTTTTAGAAAGAATCTATTTATCAGAATTGGTAATTTTATATTAAATTAAATATTAATATAATAAATATAACCTTTTAAATAATTATATTAGACAGTATGTATAATACTGTATAAATAATTATACAGTATTATATTTATAAGTAGTCTTTTATAACTGATAATGCAAATTATATTCATAATCTTAAGTTATCAGATAAATGCATGACTATGCATTTAACTGATATCTGATAACTTAAGATACAGTATGTAAAACTTAAGCAATTGAAAATATTTTTTTTGTTTCTGACATGATCTCAAAGGTTAACATATAAATTATGTGTTACTTAAATATTGCATATAAACACTTTATTATTTTAAAAATTAAAGATGATTCTTATATATGTTTATAAAAATAAAAAAAGTAGTAAATAAATGCAAATAAATATTTAATTATTACATCCATATTTAGTCATTAAATGAGTACTTACATTTAATATATAGTAATAAATATATAACAAATAATTTTTCAATATTACCTGTCTAACTGCTAAAAGATACTTTAATCCTAATAATCCACCATGTCTAGCTTCCCATTCGTGCCGTTTTAATAATTCAAGGATAACTTGAAGAACACCTTCAACTCCAGAATGCCACATTATGCTTAGAACAGCTCCTAATGCTTGAGCACAAGTTTCTCTTACAGGTGCAACTACCTAGAAATTAGAAAAAAAATTAAGAGTATAACTAAGAATTTTCAAATTTTTCTTTAGAAAAACTGTTACAAGTTTAAGAAATAATATAGAAATTGTTAAAGAAAATACAGTAATATAAAAATTTTTTAAAATTCTTATATTATTTTCTTTAACATTTTCTTCTTTTCTAAATGACAAACAAAACATTCCTCAAAATATTTTATCATCAATTTCAAATATTTTTGGATGTTGTTATATTCATCACTAGAGTACAGTCGACACCCTATAATTACGGTCCCTATAATTATGATTCCTATAAAACTACGAAAAAATTGCTACCGGTATCCGTAAAAAATAGTAAAAGTTCCCTATAAACACCTCAAACGTCATCGGGCAGCCGAACTATTTTCCCGCCGTCCGTAGCGCCACGCTACGGAGAGATTTCTATCGTCTGGACAGTATTATATAAATTATATATAAATTAGGTACTGTACATATAATTATATATTAATTATATATAAATTAGGTACTGTATATATAATTATATATTAACTTATTGTAACTTTGTTATAATTAAATATATAATTTCCGCCGTCTAGCGTGGCGCCACGCTACGGAGATTTTTACGCTAACTATCGTCTGTCAGTATGTAAATTAGGTACCGTAAGTCTAATACAGTACTGTAATTTTATACATTTCTGGTGAAAGAAACATTTCTTATTCAACGGCAATAAAAATTATTTATATTAATGATGTCTCTGACGTTCAAGGAACTATTCGCAGAAAAATAAGTTATTAGAAATCGGCCGCGGTTTGGTGAGCTGTTCCGCGACGAAAACAATGTTGAGCAATGGCATGGTGACACTCGGTAAGTAATCCTACAATTTTTTATTTATAGCGTAGTTTATATGGATTATTTCCAAAAAATATATATATGTTTCGGAAATGTTGAGTCAGATTAGTCTAGAATCGATTAATTTTATGGAAGAAAATCTTTCAAACAGCCGTAGTCCGTAAACTTGATACGTGTCGGGTTGTGATTGGAAGGATTCGTAAGAAATCGGATTCCTAAAGAATGGAACGTATCTCTATCTTATAGGGGGGTCGACTGTATTCAATACAGTAACTTTTTGATGCTTTTGCAATTATAAGTAAAAGCAATAATAACTTATATAGCTTTACAACGGTTTTTGAAAATAGAACAGTAGATATTTGGGATAATAGAATTCACATCACAACAGAGGACAATTTTGGTTTCTTTTTTTCTTCTTAGCATTTCTAGTCAAATAAGGTTTAATCCTGTATGAGTGAACAGGGCATGTTGCACAGGGCAGATAAAGGATGACTCATCTACACCATTAATAACAAAATTTTTAATATCATACAGCAAACATTTTTTACATTTGGCCAACATGGAAATAAAAGTTTGTTCCTTTGCATTTACATGTGCATAATCCACAATTTCTTTTTACAGATTGTCTTTCTGTAAGCACAATGAAAGAAAGTTAGAGGATATAATGATATGACAAGAAGTGTCTAATGAGACCTCTGATTTGGAGTGTCTCCAATCTGAGTCCATGTCAAACCCTTTTATCAATTTCTTGATTTCAGTCCTGGAGATTAAAGCTAGATGACATACCAATAGCCTGTGTTGTCCAGGTCCTGGTGACATTCAATTGTCTTCACATCTTGAGTCACAAGAATTTGATGTTGTCTCATCTTTGTGCTTTTATGGACAAATAGATCAGGGCTTTTTTTTGTTACAGACATCAGAAATTTCATTAATGAAGGAAATGAAGTTCTGTTACAGTTTGTCAATGATCCTCACAGAGATAAATAAAAATGCTCGAAAATGTTATATCATTTATTAGAAAGTTAAAGACAATCCAAAAAAGAAAAAAACCATCAAACAGCTTTATAAACTTAAATTGAATAAATCTCTATGTAACATATTTATTTCAGTTGCTCACTCATGATTCAATATGCAGGCATTAAATATGATATGACCAATGAGGTATAAATAAGTGTCTTAGTAATGTAATAAATTCACTTATTCTAACTTGTTCTATTCAGAAAGATGAAAAAATTGTAATATAAATTATATTTTAAGCATCTTTAGTAAAAAAAAAAAAATACTTAGCATTTATAATATATATATATATACATACACACGCACAGACACTCAGACATCATAATATATACAGTGGTACTTTGACTTACAAGTTTAATTCATTCCATGACAGAACTCATAACTCAAATTATTCATATGCCAAATCAATTTTCCCCATTGAATTGAATTGAAATGCTAAAAATCCATTCTGGACCGCCCAAAAACACTGCAATTTTTTGTTACATGTTTTTAAATAAGAAAAATGTACTTATAATAACAAATATTGTATAAAAACACAATAGTATATACTGCAATAATTTGGTTTTGCGAATGTTACAGCATTCGCTACATAGATAAAAAAGGATGGAAAATTCCAGAAATGAGAGACAGTGGTGCCACACAACATGGAAGTGAACTAATGCCTATGTCACTAGATCACATGTTTTTTTTTATAAGCTAGCCTGTCAGACGTAACAAAAATGACAAAATTACAGCAGTTTTCCATTTTTTTTAAATCTATGGTTCACTGTGCCACATAGCAGTAGGGTATTTAAAGCTGACTCATAACCCAAATTTTAGCTCTCAATTCAATGCAAAAAATCAGCTGAGAGATGGCTCATATCTCAAAAAACTCTTAAGTTGGGACACTCGTAAGTCAAGGTTCCACTGTATATGTCTAATTGATATTGTTTATATTCATCAATTTTGTACAGAAGTTAATCATTCTAATTTAGATAAAAATTAAAAATCATTAAAATTTATCCATTATTTTAAATTCATATCTTAAAACTTATGTATTTAGAAAAATTGAATGCAAACCTGATCAGATATGTAATCTCCAAATTTATCTAAAGCCAATACACATAGAAGCCTTAGAGCTAAATCTTCTAACCATATTTGATTAACTAATTCTACCTGCAAAAATATTTAAAATAAAATAAACAGATTTAAGATACTTATATAATGACAAAGCAAAGTTAAATAATGTTAATATATATTCATCAATTTGAATATCATTATAGAAATAAACAAATTTCATATGAGTTTTTAAACTAATGTTTTTAAAATTCTGTTTGGAATTCTGCCACCAATACTCACTGTATTCATCATATTTCTCAATACAATAATAGCAATCTCATAATTGTTGGTCTATTGTAATTACTAAATTATTCACAACAGAGTTTTTTTTAAATTTTTCTTAAAACTACTGTAGCATCTCTGTACTCTAATTTAATTTGTTCCAGAAGTCTGTTGAAGTACTGAATAAATTTTTTCCCTAAGGAATAATGTAAGTTAGATTAATCTATCCCAGATCCCCAAGAGTACACTTGTAAAAGCCTTTTAACTAGAATTTAACACAAATTTTACTAGAAGTTTACAAGCCTAGTGTGCATATTTCAAAGAAAACTCAAAAAATACACAAACACAATACAGAGTAGCAGAATAGGCCTATTAATTTTATTGGTTTAAACAAAGTTTTTACATATTTTAAAGTTCTTAAATGTATTGATTTGTATTGTATTTTCAAATTGTTTTTCATTTAAGAGTAATAAGTAACTATATAAGAACATTTGCCAGGCTGTTACAAGTTTCAGATAAATCACACACCTTTCTGCTTTTTTAATTAACACTTTGTGCTCCAGAATGCATCTCAGCAGTTTTCTCATCTTCTTCACCTTGATTATGTAATCTACTTTGAACTTTACAATATTTCTGAAGAGAGTGAGAAAACTGCCAAAATGCATTATGCTGAACTGAATGTTAATTTAAAAGAAAAAAAATGAAATTGTGTGTGTGTGCTTTATCTCAAAATTGTAACAGTCTGGTGAATGTGCTTGTACAGTTACTTATTACTCTTTAATTAATTAATTAATAGATTATAGGTAGAAAGCTTACAATTCATTGTTTTTCATTTGTTACAATTTTATTATTTTGAAGTGTAATTTTTTCCTTATATATAATATGATAAATTCATATTATTATATAGAAAAAACATTTATCTAAATATGTCTAAAATTAAATTTAAAAATATAAAAATTATTTTGAAAACCATATTCAGAAATTTCAAATAAAAAAATATGAAAAAAAATTTGTTCTATATCTATAAAATACTATAATATTTTATTCTACCTAAGATAGTCTCTTAAAAATAATCTAATTAAATTTTAATCATGAATATGCTTAAAATTTTACCTGATCAGAGGGTGTATCAGTTGTTTTACCAGCACCTTTTCCATGTATCCTAACTATTTCTCTTAAAGCAGTAGCAGCTCCATGTCTTATTTCCCATGACAAACTAAATAAATCTTGAGTGAGTTCATCACAAAATGATTGAAAAGGCCATTCTTTTGACTGTTTAAAAAAATTATTATTAATTTATTTTTGATTGTTGTTGCAATTATAAGTTTTCATGACAGCATTTCAATATCAGAAATAAAAAATGTATATATATATATATATATTTTTTTTTAATTTGTTATATAAATAATCATTAAATTATAAATACAATATGATAAAATAAATAATCTGTTTTAATTTTTGATAATATAATACTGAATAAGAATAGAATTTCATTTTAGTTGTAATGAATGACTTATTTTTATAGTAAATCAATATATTAATCTAACGTATTTTATTTCAGGTGATCAAACAAAAGGAGAACTCATAAGAAGTAATGTGAGAAGTTTGACAGGTAACAAAAAAATTGGTATTTAGATGCAAATGCTCAAGACTAGTTCACACAACTAAAAATTCAATTTTCAGCCCTATAAAATAAGAGTTATCAATAAACTTCTTATTGATAGCACTTATATTTTAAACTAAGCAAATAAAGCTTAGTTTCAAATTCTATTCCACGAGTCTACAGTCAGTAAATGCTCAAGGTGTAAGTGTTTCTCACAACACATGTATATTTAATTAGCAGTGTAAACTTTAATATTTGTATTTGTTTTATTTATTTATCAATTTTTTATTTAAAAATTGTGTTCTGCTCAAGAATCTGTTCATTTGAATTCTATTTGGTTCTTTTATTTGTATCTGAAAAGAACTTATATATAAAATGTAAAAATATTTGCATTTCTTTTTTTCAGTTATTTTTGTTGTTTATTTCACAATTCCATGCTAATTCAGCAGTGAATTATGATTAAAAATAAACATTTTTTTATAATCTATTTTACTTCAAATAAAAACTTTTAATATCAGAATATTTCATATTATATTTTATGAAATAAAATAAATTATTTAAACTAACTCAGAAAAACCTATAGTATGAAAATTCATACTGAAATCAATACCTTAAAAATTCATAACATAGGTTTTTCCAGTATAAAGGAACAATGGCACAAGTCTATCAAATGTCCACATATTGTATATTGGTAAAAGCGATTACATAATTTATTTAGATATTTCAGTCTATAAACCCTTGAAAGTACTGGACAGTAGCCTAATGGATCCAATATTATCAATTTTCTTCATCTACTCGAAAAGTAAATAGAAGCAGAAATTTCTATTATCAGGACTATGAAGACAGACAAGATTAAAAAAGCTCCTCTAGATGAAATGAAGGAACAAAAGGGCTAAGCTCAATGTTTTAGAGATTCCAAGAGAGAAATAACATTGATTAAATGGAAGAACAATTATGTCATTATACTAGACATCAATGAAAGCAACAACACACTATCAAATGTCAAAGTATAAAAGGTAGAGCCAAGAACACCAGAATAAGATCAATGTTCCTCAGTCCAGACTAATAAGAGACAATAACATATTGACAGCAGTGTTGACCAATTTGATCAGCAATGTGGACTATACCACATTAGGATCAGCTTCAAAGCAAATGTAGGAAACAATAATAAAGATCTTGTGAGTACAGCTTTGAAGCATCAAGATTATTTTAACCAAAGAAAAACTCATAAGAAAAAAATTTGATTGTTATCTAAATCATCATAACTGTTTACTTGGCCTAATTTTTTACATTGCAGATGTTTTTGTTTGGATATCAATTGTTTTTTGGTTAATGATTGTGTTATTACATCAAGGGCATAACTGTACAGTTTGGTAGGATCTTGAGTGGCCAATCATGTTCTTTTACCAATGGTGAATTTGTAAATGTCTAGTACCTTTTCTGCCATGTAAATCCCTCTGTGCAACAGCTGGAGATTTTACACTTAGTGGTCAACTCAACACATTCTTGTCATTATCATGGTGTCATGACAAAGAATAATAACTCTTAAGCATTATAACATAGAAAACAAAACAAGCAAATTTGATAGAATAGAGCACTCACTAAAGAGACGTGAGAAATGAGAAATGTACATTCAAAAGCTATGAAATGACCTTCTCCCCAAGCCCTTTTCTCACCCAGATGATTTTTCTGGCTGCCCAGTTGTCAAATTTCGCAAAAAGTATGTATACAAAAGATATGTACAAAAGGTATCTTTTGTATGTATATATCTTTTCTAGATATAGATACAAAAAATGCAATGTTTTCATATTTTTCAAGTGTAGTTCAATCCCAAATTTTTGAGTATATTTACCAGGACACATTCAAAATTTAAACAAATATGCATTCTTTTAAATAGATAAATATGTGAATATACATCTAAAATTATTTTAATATGTCTCAGTGGACATCTTAAAAATATTTTCACCTGTCTGCAGTAAGTACACTCAAACAATAAAAAGAATCCTGGAATCCTGACATTGCAATCTGTAATTTTTAATTTTTTTTCAATTTTTAGAACATTTCTCAGTTGTACTGATCTTTGTTTGAATACTGTTTAACTGATGAAACCATAAATAAAGTAAGTAAAAGTAGTTTTTTAAAATATATAAAAATAACATTATAATCTTTTTATCAAGTTTAAAAAATGTATTGACAAAAGAAAATTTTTTCTTTCATTGAAAATTAATAAAAATTCCTAAATAAGCAACATAAAAATAAGTCAAATCAGACTAACTTATTTTTTTTAAAAACAAGAAAGTGGCCAAAATAACAACAACAATTTCAAAACAGGACCACTGATTTCAAATTGAGATGTAAAAGTTGTCAATAGCTTTGTTTTAAACAAAATAAGGTTATTTTTATATGAAAGAGATCTGCCTGGCAGTTTTTATTGACCACCCAGCAAAAAATTCTGTGGAGATCACTGAATATTCACAAATTAACTGCAGTTATTCAGTTACTCCATATCTGATATACATAAAAGCCTACAGTTCCAAAATTTTGAGTTTAGATTTATATAATCAAAATTTTGGATGGTTCCAGTTGAATTTCACAATTATTTTATGTCTACTTTGTCTATATAGACATATTAAAAAAGTAAAGTTTTGTAAGTGTCTGAAAATTTTACCTAGGTTTAAGACTTTTCTGAGTTAAATGTCTGATAAAAGACATAGTAAAAACTTTAAATGAACAAATCTTTCATTAATTTAAAGTTAACTTGGGATTGTAAGTTTTATAAATAGATAAATGATGATAATGAATTAAAAAACTATTTTTTTATTTTTAATATACAAAAAAACATTAATATATTTCTTACAATAAACTGTTTAACAATACTATATTATTAATTATTATAGCTATTTTAAAATAAAATCTATTAAAAACATTCAAAAGCTACTGACTTCTTCCAACATCATCTGACCATCTAATGTTGACTCTAAATGTATACTGTCTTCTGATAACTGTTCTACTAATTTGCTTGTGTGTCTAACTTTTTTCAATGATGGTTCATCATTATCAAGACTTCCAGATTTCCTTCAAGACAAAACTTAATGTAAAATATATTTTGATATACATTTAATTAAAATTAATCAATTTATTTATTTGTGTTGTCACTGGAAGGAAGTCCTGTAATGTTTTGCATAATGAGGCAGATGAACAGCCTCTAATAAAACGTTAACTCCACCATAAAACTGTTATTTTCCTGAGGTGTGAGAAAAGACATTGAAAGATTCATTATTGTATAGTCTTAAACTATGTATATTTTACATTTTTATTCAACTTTGTCTGTTCTTTCAGAATATTTTAAAAGCTTATTACATATACAGAAACTTGCTATATTTTTTCATTTGCAATTTATTTTCTTAGCAGACAATTTTTAACAAAACATATTCAAATAAATATTTTTTTCATCTGTTAAAAAATTTAAAATTATTATAATATAAATATTAATACTTTGAAAAACTTACCTTATTATTTTCTTCTTTTATTTCTTTAATTTCTAAATCTTCATTGCTAAATATTTCATTTGTATCTATACCAAATTTTTCTGATATATCCAAGCCTAAACGTTTGTTTAACAGCTGACGTTGTTTTGCTAATATTTCTTTTTGATCCATTCCTAAAATTTATAGAAAATAATTTAATAATCCCATAATATCACATTTACATCATGATATATTGTTATATTATATTATATGCTTTAGCTTAAGAGTTCTCATAATGGTTGTTAAGGGCAGTTTTTTTTTTCAATCTCCAATGGTCTATAAAAAACAAAGACAAGTATAAATAACAAAATGAATTTATTACCAAAAGTTAGGTGCAAACATGGTTACTTTTTGACATAATTACTGTGAAAATTGAGGCATTGTCTGTCTGTGGACGATCTTTGAAATCCCCTCTTCATAGAATGTTGCCACCAGTGATTGAGATGGGCCTTAACATTGTTTTGAAAATTGTCATTAGTCTTGAACCTCTGCCCTCCTAGCCATGTTTTCAGTTCAGGAAAGAGGTGAAAGTCTTCACACATTAAAGGTGTGTGAAGACTTCCACCTAACTTGGAACTTTTTAAACACCCAGTGTATAGCCCCAATTTAGCACCAAGTAACTTCCACCTCTTTCCTGAACTGAAAACATGGCTAGGAGGGCAGAGGTTCAAGACTAATGACGATTTTCAAAACAATGTTAAGGCCCATCTCAATCACTGGCGGCAACATTCTATGAAGAGGGGATTTCAAAGCTTGTCCACAGATAGACAAATGCCTCAATCTTCACAGTAATTATGTCGAAAAGTAACCATGTTTGCATCTAACTTTTGGTAATAAATTTATTTTGTTATCTATACTTGTCTTTGTTTTATGGTCCATTGGAGGTTGAAAAAACCACCTATATACTATTCCTCAATCAATGGATATGTTCAAGGAATAAGTAAGTTATTAAAGTTGATAGTAAATTATAAAATTGAATAAAAATATTTATTTTGTTTCTTTAATTACAAACTCTTAATACATAAGAAAATTAAAAAGAAATAAACATTTTAAAATAATTCTCTATTTTAAATATTAAAGTGAAATTTTTAAACAAAATTCACAATATATCATGTTTTAAGTTAAAAGTTTAAAGTTCAATCATAATATGTAAAAAATATTAATTAAATTATAAATAAAAACTTTTGTGATAATAGAACATTTTATACTAAAAAACATATGTACATTTCTAAATTCCATACTGCTACAGTAAAAATGTATTAACCAGAGTTAAATAACAAAAGTAATAAAAGAATTTTATTACTTTTGTTATTTTAAAAGTAAAATTATTNTATATTAAATTTGAATTATATAACATTAAATGTTATTCTTTTGTTTGTAATTTGACTCGAGACACTACTTAAATGCTCAATTCAAATGTGAAAAGCTTAGGCCAGAAGAGCTGATTAATATATACGAAATTTCGGTGTGGAACGAAAATGATGTGATTTTTTTAACAATAAAAAATGATTAAAAATCGCATCCCATTGTGACGTTTCAGAAGTAATTGCTATAATATTTTATTTTCTTTAATTTACTACAATAGGAGATCATTTGAGTTTCAAGTTATCAAAGAATAAATTATCCATAAATTCAGTTTTTTAAAACTGACATTACACGTTTCTTTAAATTTCCATTCTAAATATTAACTGTTTTAATGCAAGAACCTTCTGTTTATTCTAATTTTCTAATTTTTAAACTATTTTTAGATTTGTTACAAGTGTACTTATCATTTAAGTATGTATGGTGTTTGCTTGTGTTAGTGTCAATTATCAACTGTTCCAGCTTATTGGTAAATTAAGTATATTTATTATTTAAAAATTTTGTAGTTAATATATGAGAGCAGTCTGAAAAATTCCAAAACTCTTAAATTAACACATCAACAAATGCTACAAAAATAAAACAAACACCTTTCTCTATTCCAGCACACTTTTAATGCATTATTCAACGCATTAAAAGTGTGCTGGAATAGAGAAAGGTGTTTGTTTTATTTTTATTTAATAATTCCAGTAAGCATTTAGTTATTTAACAAATGCTACTAAGTGGATGATACTTACGTTGGCTTGTAGCAATAACTTTGGAAAACTATAAGTTCATATTTGCTTAGTCATTGTACTATGTCTGTTTATATCACCACATATTTATTCTTTTGGCAAATTTGAAATGAGCAATAATCACAAGCAATAAATTTGTAGGAAGTTTTATATCAAACTCAGAAAATATTTTACAGAGACATCTGAAATGTTTAAAACATTTGGGAAGGAGGCATTAGGTCAAACTGAAACTTACCAGGAGTGGAAATAGTCTGAAAAAAAGGCTTGAAGTTTCAAGAAAAAAAATCACTGGATGATTTACCACAATAATACACCACATTTGTATAGCTATTAATCTGTTAATTTTTGATAAAACAATAATCATTTCATGGACTTCTTAATGAAACTCACACTAGCAAGCATTTTTATTCCCCAAATTAAAAATAAAGTTGAAAAACTGTTTTGAATCAATTGAGGATATAAAGGAAAATTCACTATCAGAACTTTGTGGTATCCCAAAAAAAAAAAAAAAAAAAAAAGGCACACTGGGGATGTTTCAAAGGATAGAAGAATCACTGGAAGCAGTTATATGCAGTGGAATGATGTATATTGAAGGTAACAAGGCTAAATAGACCAAGTTAAACAGGAATTTTTATTCCAAAAGTATAGAATAAAAATTTTCCAGATAGACTTTGAATATAAATGCTAAATGATCTAGTCATATTCTTAATTCTTATTAAATTATCTCTTATATTATTAATGTATTTATGCAAAATATTTTAAAATTACAATCAAATACATAAATGTAGACTGAAATTATTACACACTTTGTTGTATCCTTGGTATCTAATAAGAATGCTAAATTGTTATAATACTAAATATGCTAATACTAAATATTATGAAAAATCAATTTAGAATGTCTGCAAGAACAACCTAGAGCAGGATTTTGTTATGTGCAAAGTCTTATAGTTGAAATGTTGCTCCTGATAGTTTTTTCTTCCAGACATTCCAAATTATTTGTTAAATGTTAAACACACACATGCACATAAATAAAATATAACTGTACCTGTGCCAAAGTCAATATCAAATTCTTTGCCTTCTGATGCTAGAAGATCACTGCCATTCTGAATAACTTTGTGAATGTCAAATTCTTTAAATTTCATTCTACCAGTCAAAGAAGCAGATTCAGAATTTTTAATTTCTAAAATAAAAAAAAAAAAAGATGTAACATATCAATATATTATAATAATGGCATTTTATGCTTATAAACATAGGTTTAAAAATGATTGAAATACACTCATTGACCAAAGAAAAGTGCTTAAATCAAATGAAATTTCATTAATGCAAATGTAATGATGATGGTAATAAGTGATTATAATAAGTTATCACAGCAAAGGGACAAATTCTTGTGAAACAACAGTACAGTTTTAAACAAACTTCTGTGCCTCGTGCAATGATATAGTCAAGCATTAAAAACATGCAGACACTGCATATAACTCACATAGTCTGATAATTAAATAATGATAAAAAAATTTTAAATAAAATCTAATAACAGATGACGCCATACACAAATTTTAGTTCGAGCTAATGTGACAGTGTTTTTTAAAACCTTCAGTGGTGGATAATTTCGATCGGAATCGAAACAACTAGAAACAATTCCGGTTCCGGAACTACCAACATATGAATACAGCTTTTAACTAAACAGTGAACTCTATCTGGATTTGAGCCTAAAACTAATTGACAATGTTCTACGAATTTTAAGAAATAATGAAATTAATTTTGAATATTTTAAATTTATAATGATACTTTNTTTACTCAGTTTAAAATTGCATCCTTTCTATTCATATACATATATATCAATTTAGAAGAGAAAATATATATATTCAGTCATTGATTTATACCTGTCCTATTTTGGTGTAGTAAGATGGAAGTCTCAACCTAACAAATGCCTTCAATATCTAGAAAAACTTCTCCCTCCATAAGCAGTTTCAATTTCAGAGAGACATATCTAACAAATACAATGGGTGATTGAGTGCACACACTGTTTTCAGGCCAAAAATTCCTGCAGAGACTGCTATATGAGCATGGGCATTATCATGAACTAGAACAAACTGCCTGACACATAATGTTCTTAAATAAACCTGACATAAACAATCTAATCCTACATCATTGCAAAACACCCAAATAATAATTAGCAAATTTGCATTCTAAAACCAACTTATAAACAATAATACTCGTTGTCAATATTCCTTGTTGTAAACTTAAATTGGACATTCTGATTTTATCTCTTCACATTCATCTTTGAAATGTGCATATAAGAGTAATATTTGTGCATAAAATAGACATATCAATGTCATTACCTTAAATGTCCTTTACTAATCTGAGTGTAACCTTAATATTTCATCTTTTGCTCTATAGCAAATTCATGATAATAGTCTCACATATAGTTTTTAATAGTATAAAAATTTGAAAACACATTACAGAGCCATGCAATGTTATCACATTTTAAAACATTCAGTATAATTGCCAAAGTACAGGTATTTCCTAATGGATGCTACTGATGTATTGTCAGTATGCCTTATAAAAAAATCCAGCAACAGCTGCTTAACTTTCCTGACAACATTGGTTTGAAGAAAAACTTCAATAAAAACATATAATAAATAGGTAAAAACTCACAAATTAAAAATTATCAAAATGTCAGCCTTTTATTTGAGGTTCTGACGTCTTTCACATTAAAAACAACAAGTCTTCTCACCATACCATCAAGTAGTTATCCAATTTTTATCAGGTTCAAGCCCTCTGGTGGTTGATATGAGTTATCCTTTTATTTGCATATAGATACAATTTCATGGTGAACTCAAGATATATTTTTCTTCCAATTAGAAATTCAGACTATTTACAAAAAAATTAATTTTTGAGTCTATCTATTAATCCATTTGGTTTTATTGAAGAAAAACTTCAATAAAAACAAATAATAAATATTTATTATTTGTTTTTATTATACTGAATTTTTATAAAAACTGAATGTACTGAATGTTATATTGTTATATTTAGATGTTATATATAGATTGTTATATTATATTCAATTATACTGAATGTTTTATAAAAACAAATAATAAATATTTATTATTTGTTTTTATGTTTTAATATGTTATGTTTGTTTTTATGTTTTTATACACCAAAATTTAATGGTATAAATCGTCCTGCAAAATTTCAGGAATTTTTGACACAAAGCACAGGAGTTATTAAGCTTCAAACAGGGTAAACAAAATCATGCCCCCTCCACATACACACTAACACAGAAAAAAATCCCCAAATTTTTTTTTGCATTTCTTGAAATGCAAAAAAAATTCTAGGTCCCCTAAGTCCAAAAATGTAAAAATCATGGGAGGTCATTTTTTGATCAATTGCCATAATTTCCCTCTGCTATACAGGTAGCCCTCAGTTTCCGCTGGTTCAATTTATGCCGATTCACAATAACGCCGCTGCGCAATTCACCATTTTGAAGTGTAATTCCCCGATTTTCCCTATGCTAGACTGATTTTCATTTCAGTGTTGACTTATTTACCGAGCTGCGACATTAAAAATCTTTGTTTTAACGAATATACATTGAATATGTTTATTTTTTCTGTTTAATATTTTTAGGTATGTATACATTTGCATTAAATTAATATTAAAATACTAAACGTTTAGGTACCCACAAGTCAAGATATTAAACTTAATAGTCCAATAAATGGCGTCCGAATCCATAGCGCCAATGAATGTATCCCATATCAGTTCATTCAGGAAAACACCTTATGACGCAATAGCACTTCCGGCGATCACAAATTATTGTTAGTGAGACAAATCTACTTCTCGTTGGCCAGACGATATTTATCTCTCCTTAGCCATCTTGAATTTTCCCGCTCAAACTGACCTTATATATGCGCTACAGCGACCAGTGGTCGACCAATCAGTGTCTCTGCTCATCCATAGCTCTACGTCGGGTTAACGTATCCTTTCAACTAAGGAAAGTTTGACGGATGAACTTTGTGAGTTAGACAATGATTGGGAACGAAGTGCAAATGTAAAAAGGAGCATCATATTCGACCATATTCCAAAATTCTTAATGAAAGAAATCAAAAATATAAACAATTAAAGATGGATACTTTTTCCGAAAAATGTAAGAAATTCAAAAACTAAAATTTTTAAATAAAAACATTTTACTTTATTTTATGTTAAAATACATTTTAAAAATTAAATTTATATGTATTTTGTATTATATTGTATTAATAAACAAAATTATTAGCTTATTTTTCACTTATGTAGAACTTAACCCTATACCTCACTGTAAATATGGATTCATTTTACGCCGATTCGATTTGCGCTGGCTTTTGTAGGAACAGAACTGCGGCGTAAACCGAGGGCTACCTGTATATAACAGCCTGGAAAGTAAAACTTCAGTCTCATTATTTAATTGCCAGACTTATTACATGAATAAACAAGATTATATATTAAAATATTTTTTGGCTATTTTTGAAATCATCTAAATGAAACCATCTAATGAGATAATCTATGCTGACAGAACTTGAAATTTTAATACAAAATTTATTTTACAATGTTAAATTATTTCAATTTTAATAACACACATTAGTATTCACTTAAAGTAATAAATTTATTCAAGCATAATTTTCCATCAAGCAAGTTATTAACTTTTTTACATTATATAATATATGATTTGGAAATTTTGTTTGATTATAAATCAAATTTTAATAATCCTATTAATAAAGTAAGAAAGGCTGTGGATAATACAGACATTATTCTATGAAAACACTGTCAAAATATATCATTAAAGCCAGTTTTAACAGCTTATTTTTCAGTCCTTAATTGATTGTGGTCTTTCTGTATAGTCTTGGCTTCTTTATCATTACTGAATAAGATTGTCTCAGCAATGAATAAGGTATTGTTTTATTCAGTAAGATAAGTTAACATCTCCCTTACACAGAATCTGCACTTGCAATCCAGTCTTGTTTTGTTTCCTGATTTTGATAGCCATATTCAATATTTTGATAGAATTCTTTTCTATAAAAAATTTAATTGATTGACTCCACCTTATATTAATATACATATACTTGCAAGAATTATACATTATAATTACTGTTAAAACCAGATGATCTGCTGAATTATCAGGCTAGAATAAGGCAATGATTTAATGGCTATAATAGTTTTAATTAAAGTATTGGGTGAATGGAGTTTTATTTGCATATATGATTTCTGTTTATATATTCATAATTACCAATTGAATGTAGTTTGGAGAGCCCTTATGTACTGGGCTTTTATAAATTAGAAATATGTAGAGCATGTGCTATACACCTTTACAGTGTTTAAACATTTTTATAAGCAATATATGTATAATCATTTGTAGTGTTTATGTTTTCTTTCTTTTTAATATGAGCAGTAGTTTTATTATAACATGGGGTAAAGTCATTTATAGCTTCTTGTCTTAATAAGACTTTACTGTAAAATATAAAAGGTAAATAAATACATATATCTAAATTCATATAAAACAAAAATTTAATAATAATAATAAACTTTCTTTACTATAGATCAAGGTTTTGCAATCTTTTTCTCATTGCAAAATGGTACCAGTAATTATAGCAACTTTAAATTAAGCTTATTTATTACACTTATAAATGCTTAACTAGAGTTACAGTACATAAGAAAGTATGTACAATAACTATATATTACTGTTTAAATGTTACCCATACTCAATGTTACATATTTAAATGTTAAATGTAAGTATGATCAAATATTTTTCTGCAGAATGATGAAATTTTTTTCATGGACTGGTGGTTGAAAAACACTATTATAGATAATAGGATACTACTGAGGTGTTCAAATAGGATACTAATTGAATATAAGTGAATATTTTTAATGTTAGATAATTCTCACTCAAATTCTTCATTTTTTAAATAAAAAGGGAATGAGCAAAAAATACTGTGAAATCATCACAATGCTAGGCTGCAATTTTTAATCATATTTTTTAAATTTATTTAATTTAAAATATATGCACTCCATTCCAAATTAGTAGTGTCCTTCCTCATACATCATACTTTATCTGATACAAACCAAGTCATGCCAGTCATCTATGTAATTCTGTTCTGGGAAAAATTTTTGAATTAAAATCATGTGACTTCTGGTCTACATTGGAAGTTCGTATATAATTAATTGGGGCCTCCTGCACTCAAGCTTTCCATATCTGGTCTTGACTTTCATCTATCTAACACCATTCTTGAGATTAAAGAAGAACAGACATACAGACAACAGTAAAAATTTATAGGTCTACAATTTTTTCAAATTGCAGCCCAAGAGGAAAAATGAACTTGTTCTTGGTAAATGAGTATCTATGAAAATATATTCTTATTATTCCTGAACTTCATTTCTCGACTTTTATCCTTTCTGATCCTTAGATTTTTGTTTTCTAAATTTAAAAAAATATTATCATCAATTTTATTTAGCAGAAGTGAGAAAGCTAGCATTCAACACTTTTAAAGAAATCATAAAGAATAGATTTCAGTAGTCCTCTGATAAATGGATAAACATAAGTAAAAACAGTAAACAGTAAAAGTAAAAAAATATAAGGTTGCCAACAATGAATTCTTTGTAATAGTATTAAAGTTTATTTTATGTATATAAAAAGCACTTTATACAAAAGCATTAATTCACATTAATTTTTCAATTGATTGGGATTGATTAAGATTGAATTTAATTAAAAGCAAGAGAAATTTGAGAAGAACAGACATTGTTGTGATGGAAAATACCATTCTTAGCCCAGGACATAGTTTAATTGCAATATGCTTCAAAGACACTTCACACATGTTGAAAAATTTAGTAAAAGTATTATTGAGTTTTGTTAGAAACAATGTTTATCTATGTTTATAGCGTGAAAAATCTTGAATCAATCAATCCAATTCACAAATTTATCAAAGACAATAACAATGCATAAAATTATTCATTTCATGCATCAAGCTAATGAATGCATTATTAGATCATTCCAAACACATCTCTGTACAATCATTTGTAATTGGACTGCAATTTGAAAAAAACTATAGACCTATAAATTCCCACTGTCGTCTGTGCCTTTTCTTAATCTCAAGAATAGTGTTAGATGAAAGTTAAGACCAGATATGAAAAGCTTAGGGGTAGGGGCCCTGATTAACTATATTTGACCTTCTGGTCTAGACCAAAAGTCACATGATTTCAATTCACAAATTTTCCCCTGAATGACGTTAGAGGACAAGTATGACTCTGTTGTTATCAGGAAAAGTATGATGTAAAAGGAAATTTACACTGTTAATTTGAGATGAATAACATATTTTAAATTAAATAAATTAAGAATATGATAAAAAATTGCAGCCCGGCATTGTGATGATGTCACAATAAATAATTGCTCATTTATATCTTTGGCTTTTATACAATAATATGAAAAGTTTAGTTTCTCTCTCTTGATTCATCTACATATGTCTGTTGCTTTTTTACTCTCTTCATGTAACTAAACATGTCTGTTATTTTATAGAAATTTACCTTAGGACTTGGCTTTATTAAAGAATATCAGATGTTCAAAATAGTTATTATTTGTTTGATATTATAAAAATTAAAGTTTCTCTGAAAAATTAATAAAGATTTCATTGAATCAAATACCAGATAAACAGACCTTGCTTAATATGAGTTTCAACAGGATTCCATTGTGGTACATTGGAAATTATTGCTTCAACAGCTTGTCCAGCAGCAATGCGTGTATCCCAAGAACTGCTATGCAAGTATTGCCTAACCTAATAATATTAATAATAATAATAAACTTTCTTTACTATAGATCAAGGTTTTGCAATCTTTTTCTCATTGCAAAATGGTACCAGTAATTATAGCAACTTTAAATTAAGCTTATTTATTACACTTATAAATGCTTAAGTAGAGTTACAGTACATAAGAAAGTATGTACAATAACTATATATTACTGTTTAAATGTTACCCATACTCAATGTTACATATTTAAATGTTAAATGTAAGTATGATCAAATATTTTTCTGCAGAATGATGAAATTTTTTTCATGGACTGGTGGTTGAAAAACACTATTATAGATAATAGGATACTACTGAGGTGTTCAAATAGGATACTAATTGAATATAAGTGAATATTTTTAATGTTAGATAATTCTCACTCAAATTCTTCATTTTTTAAATAAAAAGGGAATGAGCAAAAAATACTGTGAAATCATCACAATGCTAGGCTGCAATTTTTAATCATATTTTTTAAATTTATTTAATTTAAAATATATGCACTCCATTCCAAATTAGTAGTGTCCTTCCTCATACATCATACTTTATCTGATACAAACCAAGTCATGCCAGTCATCTATGTAATTCTGTTCTGGGAAAAATTTTTGAATTAAAATCATGTGACTTCTGGTCTACATTGGAAGTTCGTATATAATTAATTGGGGCCTCCTGCACTCAAGCTTTCCATATCTGGTCTTGACTTTCATCTATCTAACACCATTCTTGAGATTAAAGAAGAACAGACATACAGACAACAGTAAAAATTTATAGGTCTACAATTTTTTCAAATTGCAGCCCAAGAGGAAAAATGAACTNAAGTGGGAAAAAAAATTTCATTTTAGTCTTAAACTTAATAATTTTTTAAATGTTAATTTTTCATATTGTAACATTCTTAAAAATGCAACTCTTTCATAAGAATTAACTGACTAATTAAATCATTAACAGAAAGACTAATTTCAGAAATTGCAATAAATCATTATGTATGAAAACAAAATTTTAATATTCTGCAAATATCCACTTAAAAATGAATGCAAAAAATTTATGGCTACATAAAGTGTATTCTGCATTAATTGTTAATGTAGTTTCCTAAAAAGAAGTATACAAAATAGCTTGTGAAATATGCAAAAAATTTATTTATAAAAAAATAGTTATATTAAAATGTTTGAATACAGTACGAAAAAAATCATGGTTTGTATAAAATGTACCATAGAATAGAATATAAACAGTAATCAAAATAAAATTTTAAATATAAGATAAAATACCATTCCATTTAGAACATTAGTCTATAATCTAAAGATAACATTAAAAAACAATTTTATCATATTAAAAAATCATTAAAAATTATTACATGTTTTTAAAACATATTGCTGTTTTTAATGAAATAAATTTTGAGCTTATTTAATTTATTACAGTATTATATTTTGTATTATTATAACAATAAATAAATAAATTTTATTTTATATATACACAATGGTGAAGTAAGTAAACTGACACCCCTGCTATAGAATATAGAATGTACCCAAAATTAATTTGCTCATATCAGGAAAATATTAGACCAAGGAAGAAACAGATTGGTGTATGTTACATGCATGGCTGCTATATTGAATGCAACTCTGAAATTTTAAATGAGAAGGAAGTCATGTGATACATTATGTAGAGTCAGAATTCCACAATGCTGAAAGATTTATTGATCTACCTCAACCAGTTACACAGTTAAAACAACTTCTTAGATAATTACTAAAATGCATATACTTTGCACTCAAAAGTCCAGTAATAACACTTTAATGGAAAACATTAAATACAACAGCATCTAAGCTCCATCTACAAAGAAATTGGTACCCGTACAAACACAAAGATTGCCTATAGGCGATCGAACACAGATTATGGGCTATTGTGCAATGGCAAGGACAGGATTGATAAAAGTTGGGCACCAGGTGTATATATGGTTCCCCTGAAACAGATTTCAAAGGGATTTAGTATACATTGGGTTCACAAAGCATTCTCTAAGTAAAAGATTACAGAAGCACAGATATGATATCACTAACAAAAGGCACACCATCACCCTATCGACCTATGCCTCAGACCATGACATACAGACTGATCTCCATAAAGCCAAACTGGTCAGATTGTCACAACGAATTAAACACCTTTGAAACCTTGAGGCATTAGAAATTTACAAAGCTGGTTTACATGGCAACTATATTAACACAAATGATGCCATTAATGTTTCCTACACATGGAGGTACTGTTATGAAAAAACAGGCAACACCAGCAGTTTAGCAACTTTTTTCTGTATCTTTATTTACATCGTATTATTCACTGTTTATGGTGTTGATATAGTTCTATTGCCATTGTAACATGCATGGGTAAAAGTTTTATACATACATGCTTAGATTGTTCCATAGATTTTAAAATAATTTTTGAACATGTTGTTCCATACCTTCCATAGGATTTTTAAAAATAATTTGTAAATATTGTTCTTTGCATTCCAAGTTTGAATCTTACTGGTTTTAAAAACCTGAGGAAAACCGAGGTACAGTCGAAAATGTTAGTTTTCCATTAAAGTGTTATTACTGGACTTTTAAGGTTCTCGAGTGTAAAGTATATGGTTACACAGTTATTAATGCTTTTTCCTTCATTGTCACAGGTTGAAGAACAGACAACACAATGCTCCTAACACAGGAAAAATGCATCAAAATTGTCCTGATGGCAGGGGAGAGAACTTCTAGGGTGAGTGCACAAGCCTGAACATTTTTTATCATGGACCAATCCCATCTCCCTGAATTTCTGGACTAGGTTGGCAACTGCTATGTGTGACACAGGCACTTGGTGTGGATGACATTGATTAAAATCCTATGCAATCACCCTGGAACTTCTCTCTTCTGCTATCAGGACAATTTTGATGGATTCTTCCTGTGTTAGGGGCATTGGGTTATCTGTTCTTCAACCTATGACAATTGAGGAAAAGGAAACTGGTTACACAGTTAATGAAGGAAAAGCATTAACTGTGTAACCATTTGAGGTAGGTCAATAAATCTTTCAGCAATCAATTCCCTGTGGAATTCTGACCCTACATAATGTGTCACATGATTCCCTTCCCATTTATAATTTTGGAGTTGCATTCAATATAGCAGCCATGCATGTAACATACACCAATCTGTTTCCTCCTTGGTCTAATATTTTCCTAATATGAGCAAATTAATTTTGGGTACATTCTATATTCTGTAACAGGAGTGTTAGGTGACTTTCTTTACCACCCTGTATATTAAAAGAGTATTGTTAATGCTCATTTCAGTGGAACAAATTTATTCTAATAAACTATAATATATAAATCAGAAGAATAGGTTCTTATTTGCATATTCTACTTGTCTGTTGTTCCTGAAAATGAAATTTTGGATTATTGGAAATGTTTAAATTATTAAAAGTATTGGTTATTTAAAACCAAACAAATTGAGTTTTCCTTTGTTTTGAATTAATATTTGTGGTGTATACCTTGCCTATCCTATATTGTTATGTTAACAGATTTCAGAACCCACACTCATAATTTTAATGCATTTTTTTTAACTTAAGCAAAAAATCTAGCCAACTGATTAAAAGCCAAAGAAATTAATTTAAAAGAAAAACAAATAAAATTTACCTTTGCAAGTAAATTACGTAATTCATGTGGATGGAGCTTTTGTACTTCTCCTAACTGCAATGCAGCAGCTTTTCTTGTAATAGGAGATGATCCAGTATCCAACAATAAAAATAATCGATCTAACCTTTAAGTAAAAATAAAAAGTTCAGATTTTCCTTTAAATATACATTAATAATCATATAAAATGAAATAATTAGTATTAATAAACAACAGACACTGCAAAAATTTATATAATAAAGTAACATGTAAAAACTTAGAAAATTCATTAAAAAATTTTCCAAATGAGACAATACATAAAAATGTCTTCCTTTTCATACCTCAAGGAATAACAGTCTTACTGCAGAGTCAACCTTCCTTTAGAAATTTCTCATATGCATCAATAAGTAAAGTATTAAAAACATCTCTCTGGCAACAGCAGAATTCAAAAATATTTGCTAAAATATTTGATTAAATGACCAAGACATTAAGTATAAAATTAGAAAATCCATAAAAATATTTTTCAAACCTAAAAGTCTCCAAAGAAAGATTGACTCTGCTGCAAGACTGTTATTCCCTGAGATGCGAAAAAGACAAGATGAAAATGCTTTTATGTATTGTCTCATTTTTAAAAAATTTATGAATTTTAAGTTTATACTTAATATCCTGGCATTTTATTAAATATTTTTAGAAAATAACATGTCTGTAAATATAAGAATTTTATGAAATAGTTTTGTAAATCCTACTTACTTTGAGCAAATCTTATATTATTAATTTTTAAACAGTAAAACTTGTAAAAGCTACAACTGCATGGATTATGTAAACTTTCTAACTTAAGCAGGTTTTCAGTCTTAGGCAGACTGGAACAAATGGTAATTGCTTCAATTGTACTTTTTTTTTTATAAAGTTTAAATGTAGAAATAGTATTTCCTATATTCATCAAAATAACCTCAATAAAAAGAAAATAAGGCAGAAAATAAAATATATAGAAAGAGTTCTAATTCAATAATCAAATGCAGAAAGAGAAAGAGAGAGAATCTCCGTGCTTGTCTTAGTCATAATTAACAATAAAATTTTCAACATTTTCAATAATATATTTTTTTCAAGTATGTCAAGACATTAGGAAAATAAAGTAATTCTCTTGCTGTTTTAAAACCAAAGTAGACTTATGCAAAAAACATAAATGCATAAAATACAACATAAACATGAACAAAAACAGAAAACACAATCAATATTTTCTAAAGTTTTTGTTGTAATCAAACATAAAATCATGTATCTCTATTGAAGTTTAACCAGTAGGAAAAAAAATCTCATGACAACTTTCACTTTGGTAACAATCTTGTATCTTGATTCAAAAATAGCATAAATTCTTCACTCGCACAAGTAGATGTCTAAATTCAAATTTGACAAAACATTTAATGTTCATATTTGAGATTAATTATTGAAGTTTGCTGGCTTTCAACATATTTCACATCTTTTACAATAAAGAAATAACTTTCTCTAGTAGACAATACATACATAATGCATATTTGTACAATCGGTCCTTTCTCACGAAGATGAGGGATAGATAAGACAATTCCATGGCAGAGTCAACCTTTTATTTGAGACTTCTCATCTGCCTCCAAATGTAAAATAGTCCAACATTTCCCTCTATTTGAGGCTTCTCATCCAGCACAATTAAAATGAATTACATTCATTTTAATTGTGCTGGATGAGAAGCCTCAAATAAAAGGTTGACTCTGCCGTGGAATTGTCTTATCCCTCATTTGCGTGAGAAAGGACCAATTGTATAAAGACACATTATGTGTGTATTGTCTACTAGAGAAAGTTATTTTCTTTATTGTAAATTAAATCGTCCTGGCTTAATTTTAAAAAAAGAAATTTCACATCATTGTTCAATACTAGGTTCTTATCAGTTATATTAATTGTAATTCATGTACTGACATGCTAGATCTAAATCATGCATGTTATGTCTTCAAAACAATTTAAAAATTTAATTTCAATTATGATGTTATTTAACTTAAACTTATTTCTTAAAACCCACCACTTTATAAACAAAATAAATATATTTCATTTTTAACATTTTCAGTCAGACTTTCTGATTTAATACTTGTTTAAGTTTTCATCTTTGAGAGATTTTAACTAATATAAATTAATAAAAACGTATAATACACACAGCTTTTCATTTCCATCTCACAGGTTCCACCTTAGACAGGATACTTTATTTTAAAAAACCTGATAATAATGCCAGAATAACAGCAATTTTCCAGCCAAACTAAATGAAATGCTAAATTATCAGGCTAAGTTAATGATTAGAAACCAGCTTTCACAAGTTTCTGCCTTACAGAGCTTCTAATTCTCACAGCTTTTACTATACTATTTTATCAACTTATTTTACATCATCTTCAATTTGATTAATCAAAAGAATACTACAATATTTAAAAAGTGAAACAAATTAAAAATATCAAAAACTACATTTATCTGATATCAGTACACAGAATAATTATAAATTTCTCTTGACTGAATTTATGTTTAATTCCTCACAAAAAATATTATATATCTTGCAGAAAAATACATCTTTTACCACTAAATATACAATCAAAAGTAACAAATAATTAGACAAAAATTGATTTATGTTTTAACATTATTTTTATTTATTTCAGAAAAAATTAGACTCAAATTCCAAGAAC